GAGGAGTGCCGCACTCGCAAGCGAGCCGAGGCGTCGGGCGGAGGTTGGAATAAGGGGAAGGAGAAGGCGAATGTGACGCAGGAGAAGAGCAACATCGGCTCAGAGGGCGAGCACTCGAACTTTGTACGCAGCGACACCGTTTTATTCACTTCCGAGTTCTCCTGCTACCCTCTCGTGTGCGCATCACCATTCATTGCCCTTCAAGACTCGTCTTCCCTTGCGCTTCCATCTCGTTCCTCGCTCCCACCTATCGTCATCGACTCTGGAACGTCATCGCATGTCCACTCTCAACGGGTGGATTTCGCCGATCTCAGCCCCTCGTCCTCCACTATCCACGGTTTCGGAAATGGCACGACCGCTGTTGAAGGTCGCGGGGAAGCACAACTCATCGCCGCCCTGCCGGACGGATCACGCACGCGTCTCCGGCTTCACGACACCTGCTATGTTCCCGAGTCACGTCCCAGCCTGATCTCCGTACCACGACTCGACGAGGCGGGCTGCTACACACTCTTTGGCATGGGTCGCTGTGTCTCGTTCAAGATCAGCGATGGTGGGGACCTCCTTCGACGTGCGCTCTCCCGTTCCGACACGATTATGACCGGGAGCAGAGGCAAGGACCGCCTCTACCACCTCGATTTGCCTAAAGACATAACGTCGTACCACACAACGGACGACATGGCTTCACGCGTGCTGCTACTCGCTCACGGTCGCCTCGGGCACCTCAATTTCCACACTATTCGCGCCATGGCACGGTCTGGGCGACTTCCTGGGATCAAGCTCACGCCTACGCAGCTGCGCATCCCCGACCCACCCTGTCCCTCATGCGTAAAGGGCAAGATGACACGCGCGTCATTCCCGCCATCTTCTGGCTCTTCCGGTGCGCATCCCGTGCGATGCCTGCAACTCGTCTCGATGGACCTCTGGGGACCGGCTCCCATTCAGACTCGGTCTGGGCATCGGTACCTCATCACCTTCACGGACCACTGGTCGCGCTGGGTGTGGGTGGGTTTCCTGCGCCGCAAATCCGAGGCTTTTGACACGTTCAAGGAGTGGCTTACCCGAACGGAGCGCGAGACGGGACAGAAGCTGGACACGATTCGCGCGGACAACGGCGGGGAGTTCATCAACCGCAGCTTCTCTGAGCTGTGCGTTTCCTCCGGCATCCGACTTGAGACGTCGTCACCACGCACTCCGGAGCAGAATGGCGTAGCCGAGCGCCAGAATCGTAGCATTTTCGATCGCGCTCGGACAGTGCTCATCGATGCCGGACTCCCTCTCTCTCTATGGGGTGAAGCGGTCAACTACATCGTGTACACGAAGAATCGCAACCCTACGTCCGCGCTGCCTGGTCGCAAGACGCCGTTCGCTGCGCGTTTCGGACATCCCCCAGACTATGCTTTCCTTCACCGTTTCGGATGTCGAGCCTACGTTTACGTGGGTGATGTTCCCTCACGCAACAAGCTTGAAGCACGCGCGGTCGAAGGTGTATTCATTGGCTACGCACCAACGCAGAAGGCCTACCGGGTGCTCGAGCCGTCCTCCTGGCAGCTTCACTCGTCCATCCACGTCGACTTCCATGAAGACATCAATGGGTGGCCACGACGTGGTAACAGCGCGCAGGCTGAGGGGGAGCCACTCTACGACTCGTTCTTCTACCCTACTGAGGGAGACGACGAGCCTCCGAACAACAGCCCGCACACTGCAACCACGTCTCAGCCTGCCGACGCGCTACCAGCAGAACAAGAGCGTGCACCGCTACCACTGCATCGTGAGGAGCCAAACGTACCTCAGCTGCCGCCTCCTACAGACGTTGGAGCACGTCCACGAACACGTCGCACTCGACGCGAGAAGCATGGAACCGAGCCTTCACGACGATCGACACGCATCATGGAGCTGAAAGCTACGAAGAACCAGGCTGCACGTGTCGAGGACGTCCCGGATGAAGGAGACGCTGCTCCGCAAACCCGTCCGGATGACGACAACGGAGACGAGCCACACTCCTCCAACGAATCCGAGGAAGAGGTCGACGCAACACTCTTTCTTGACGCTCTCCTAGACCACTGTTACCTCTCGACTGGAGAAGAGCCGAAATCCTACCAGTCTGCAGTCGACTCGTCAGACGCTGAAGAGTGGATCGCTGCGATGATGAAGGAGCTCGAATCGATCTCAGCCCTTGGTACCTTCGAACTCGTCGACCTCCCTCGCGGACGATCAGCAATCGGCACCAAGTGGGTCTACGCCTTGAAACGCGACGCTACCGGCCGAATCATCCGCTACAAGGCTAGACTAGTTGCCCAAGGGTTCTCGCAGAAGCCGGGTGTCGATTTCTTCGACACTCATGCTCCGGTCGTCAAGCCTGAGGCGATGCGAGCACTCATGGCCATAGCTGCCATGCTTGGTATGGCCATCCACGTCGTCGATGTCGACAGCGCTTTCTTGAACAGTGACATCCCTGAAGATCAGGAAGCGTTCGTGAAGCAACCACCGGGTTTCGCGCAACCCGGACTCGAACACTTGGTCTGGCGCATCAAGAAAGCGCTCTACGGTCTTCGACAGTCCGGGCATCTGTGGTACCGCAAACTCCGCGAGATCCTACTCGAACTCGGCTTCACGGTCTCACTGGCTGACCCGTGCATCTTCTTCCGACGACACGGAGACAAGTTTGAAGCCATCACATCCCATGTTGATGATCTCGCCCTCTTCTGCGCAAACGACGTCGACGCTGAATCCCTCAAGGCCGAGATTGCGAAGCACGTGCCCATCAAGGACAACGGAGAAGTATCTCTCCTGCTTGGTGTTCAGGTCACACGCGATCGCGAAGCTCGTACCATCTCATTCTCACACGCGCACAAGATCGACGCAGCACTGGAAGAATTTGGTTTCGCAGATGCCTTGCCGGTCGCATCCCCGATGGATCTCAGTACGAAGCTCGAACCACAGGTTGGCCCCTTGGACGACGATGAAGCCACTTTCATGCGACGTGTAAAGTTTCCAGCGGCGGTTGGTACGCTCATGCACATCGCGGTTCACACTCGGCCGGACATCTCAAAGGCGGTACAGAACGTCGCTCAGTACATGTCGAACCCAAACAAGACTCACTGGCGTGCCGTCAAGCGGATATTCCAGTACCTCAAGTGCACGCGGGACTATGTTCTCACCGTCGGCGGAGAGGGCTCCATCTTCCCCGTTGCATGGTGCGATGCGTCACATGCCGACCAACCAGCTATGAAGTCCACATCTGGGTACGCCATCTTCATTGGTCAAGGATGTATCGCATGGTCCGCGAAGAAGCAGACAACCGTTGCGTGTTCCACTACGGAGGCGGAATTCTACTCGGCCGAGAACTGCGGGCGCGAAGTCGTATGGATGCGTCAGCTGCTCCAGGAGCTCGGTTTCCTTCCTATGGACAACGCTCCCTCCACACTCTTCCGCATGGACAGCACCACCGCGATTCGGATGCTCAAGAACACCGACGAGGTCAGCAACCGAACCAAACATGTTAATATTGCATACTACTGGATTCGCGAGGCGGCTCGTAAGGGCCACTTCGCATTCGAGCATGTCGCAGGCGCCGAGAACGTCGCGGACATCCTCACCAAAGGACTCTCAACCGATGTTCACCGCCGTCACACCACTTCCCTCGGCCTCGCTCCATCTCCATCCGTCTCTTCTCGCTGAGGGGGAGTGTTGATTCCTTACATTATCTTATCTCATATGATGCAGCTCGAGGACGGACGTCCGATACTGGCCATACCTATTTTAGTTTAGTTGGTACTGTACAGTTCCTCGGCTCTCTCCGAGACGCCCCGGCACAGCGCTCGCTCGACCGCTCGCCCATACCTCAGTCGCTATTGTCCCCGACTGAGGTATGTTTCTATTCATATATTGTTCCTCTATTTCTGTACTTACGTATCTTGTACCTAGCTCGCACTCACACTGTGTGTCGTTAGGTACAGCAATCCAGTCGCTATTGTCCCCGACTGAGCTCGCACTCACACTGTGTGTCGTTAGATCTCTTGCCGGGTGCCGCTGACTTTGCGCGTTCGTTGGCAGAGTCGGACGACTAAGCGCCGGCATTCACGGACGAGCCAGCCGAAGAGGCGTGGAGGAGCGGGGCGGCGATGGTCGATGGTCGACGGGGCGCTGTGGGTAACGGGCTGTGTCGACCGCGGTATGCCCTGGGACGCAACAACCTGTAGGTGAATGTGTCGGGCGAGGTCTTGACGCGTCGAGATGGGCGGGTACGCCGTGGATGAGGCGTTGCGTCGACCGCGGTGCGCCCTGCTCGGCGAGTCCAAGGCTGGTCAGCAAGCGCCAAGCGCTGGGCGAAAGAGGCGTTACCGCAGGCGCTCGATTGCGTCATGCACGCGAGGAGGACGACTCCGCGTTGAGCGAGCTCCCCTTCCCCGCCCCCTACACCGCCTCGCGCGCCCTCAGCCCGTCTCGTACTTGCACGCGTCCGGGCTTCGAGAAGAACACCGAGTCCTGCCATCTACGTTCCAGCTCTCCGTGATCAAGGTCCGTGCCTCTTCCTTTGCAACCAACGATGTCTAACGTGAACCCGACAGGACGCAGTCGCTGTAGATCCGGCACAGTTCGTCTACATACCTCCAGAACAGGATATCACCAATCAGCTGAACGAGGTTCACGCGAGACGCGTCTTGCACGGCGTCGGTCTGTGCACACGCGTCTTCGACCTCGTGGGGGTAGCGGAGGGCAAGGTGCGGCTCTGAGATGGATGTCTGTGGTACAAAGATCGGTGAGTCTGTCTCACACTATGACTACCAATTCTCTGCGTCTTCCGTCCCTTTGGATCCGAGGCCATCCTCACCAAGATCAAGTCCTCGGATGAGGACGGTGTCCGACGTCCGTCTATTCCGCCTTGTTCTCGCGCCCTTAAGCTCACTCACGCCCAGTCACTGTCGGATCTTTGACGACATATACGTTCCCCTTGTCTACCTTCTGGAACCTTGCGCCTCGTACGTGCTCCTCTCTCTGTTATGTCTTCCCCGAAACCCATGTCGTCCCCCCAGGGACCCGAAAGAGCGAGCACATTTCTGGCTGCCGGGATCGGAAACACCCTTGGCTCACACCTGGCGGACCGGATATACATTGACGCCGGCAATGTCCTCCGGGTGCGCTTCGAGGGAGACGAGTTCCATGAGGATGAGCCTGGACCGCCGGAGGCGCATGAGGGCGTTCAACAGGCTCGTGAGATGCGCCGTTCCCCGTATACCATCACCGTGAGTGCCTTCCCTGCTTCCCCCTGTCGGTGGAAAACAGCTTATGTCTGGTTCTGTTCCAGTGCCCGATGTCAGAACAGCGACTTGGCCGGTGGAGGAACGCCGGCGTCGAAACAACGGACGATGGATGACATGTAATCAGACCGCACCGCGTTTTTCTTGTTTTCTCGTATCCTTCGATGACATGTTGTAACTTCGTTCGCTTCAATCAGGACCAGCATTGCCGACTCGAAAGAGGAAGCGGAGCTGGAGAATGAAATTTCGCGTCTGACTGCCATCACAAGCTATGTCGTTGAATTCGTTCTCTGTTCTCGCCATATCGACATACACGAAAGAATGAGGCCTAGGACCCCGGACCAGTCATCCCACGTCCTCAGGTAGTCCTGCGCATGAAGCACCAACACTTCAACCCGTGCACGACGAAAATCTACGGTGTGCGTGGTATATCCATGGAGGCGGCCGGCGAAGTGGCAGGAGCCGTGTCGGGCGTCGTGGACGTTTCGTGTGGAGTGGCGACAGCGTCCACTGTGGCGAGGGAATCCGCAGGGCTGTGAGGCGGGGTCAGCGTCGGGAATCACACAAGTGGCAACGATGGATACGAACTCGGGTTCCTCAGCTTGGTCGGTGTGTTTCTCCGATTGAGGGTCTCCGGCGGGAGACGGCACGCCCGGTGGAGCGCACAGTAGGACCTTCGACATGAGATCGAGGAGGCAACGTTTGCACTCGCGCACATCTGCATCCTCCGGCTCCATTTGACGCCAGTTAACCTCCTCCTCCTCAGTTCCAACGAGCTGTATGAACGCGCGCTCGAGTGCCGCAACGAGCGACGGTGTGACCAGACGGCGGATGCCGTCTGAGGAATGGGAGTGGAATTCCAGTATGTTGTCCAGGATATACTTGAACCAGATGCAAGCGTGTTCCGGTGATACAGGCAACGACCAGTCAATCGTGTCGAGGAACGTTTCCAAGGAGGAGAACACGTGTGCGACGAACGGCTGGATCGCAGCGATGCCGTCGCACTCGCGGATCCTGGGCGCCGAGTACTCGACGAGTTGCCAGATGGGGCGGATATGCTTCCGCATGAACTCGAACTCGCCGGTGAGGACGTCTTGAGAAGGCGGGTCTGCGCGTCGGAGGCCACGGTCGCTGACGTGTGTTTGCATCCGATGAGCTGCCGCGAAGGCAGCTGCGGTCACCGTGAGCGCTCTGACTTGGACAGGGTTGAAGATGAAGTCACAGACGCACCGAGTTGCAACGTTCCGGCGTCACCGATTTTCTGGAACGCGCTGTTGTACCCCAATTTGTCCCATTCTGAGTCTGTGTTTGCGGGTTCAGCAGTTCTTTGAAGGCTGATGAGTATTTTGGTCCTGGTCTCTGTGTCGGGCGCTGTGGACGTTTTGTGTGGAGCCTTGGTAGCCGCGTCCACTGCCGCGAGGAAATCCACAGGGCTGTGCGAAGACGCAGTGGTCAGCGTCGGGAGTCCCACAAATGGCGAGGATGGATACGAACTCGCGTTTCGGAGCTTGGTCGCTGTGTTCCCCTGATTGAGAATCTCTAGTGGGAGGCAGCGCATCGGGCGGAGGGCACGGCGGGACCTTCGACCTGAGATCGAGGAGGAGATCTTGGCACCTGCGCACAGGCGTGAAACCATGAGCCTCCACTCGACTCCAGTCGTCCGTTCCGACGAGCTGTGTGAACGCGTGCTCTAGCGCTGCAACGAGCGACGGTGTGATCAGACGGCGGATGCCGTCTGAGGGATGGGAGTGGAATTCGAGTATGTTGTTCAGGATACAGCAGAAGTGGGAGCAGGCATTGTCCGGTGATACGGGCGGAGACCAGTCAACTTTCGTGTTGAGGAGTGTTTCAAAGGAGGAGAACGCGTGCGCGACGACCGGCTGGATCACAGCGATACCGTCGCACTCGCGGATTCTGGGCACCGAGTACTTGACGAGTTCCCAGATGGAGTCAATATTCTTGTACATGGACTCGAACTCCTCGGTGAGCACGCCTTGAGAAGGAAGGTCTGCGTGCCTGAGAACACGGTCGCTGACGAGCGTTTGCATCCGGTGAGCTACTGCGAAGGCAGCTGCGGTCACAGTGAGCGCTCTGACTTGGACGGCGTCGAAGGTGGAGTTGCAGACACACCGAGGTGCAACGTTCCGGCGTCACTGATCTTCTGGAACGCGTCGTTTTCCCACAGTTTGTCCCATTCTGACTCTGCGCTCGTGGGTTCGACCGTTCTTAGTATACTGACGAGCAGTCGGGTCCCGGTCACTGCGTCGGGCGCTGTGGACATTTCGTGTGGAGTGGCAGCGGCGTCCACCTCCAAGGGGGAATCCGCAGGGCTGTGAGACGGGGTCAGCGTCGGGAATCGCACAAATGAAGGACGGATACGAGCTCGGGGTCCGTAGCTTGGTCGTTCTGTTTCTCCGATTGAGGACCTGCGGCAGAAGACGACGCGTCCGGTGGAGGGGCCCGGCACGGCGGGACCTTCGACGTGAGATTGAGGAGGCGATTTTCGCACATGACCACATTTATATCCCCCGGCTCCATTTGACGCCAATTCTCAGTTCCAACGAGCTGTATGAACGCGCGCTCGAGCGCTGCAACGAGCGACGGTGTGACCAGACGGCGGATGCCGTCTGAGTGATGGGAGTGGAATGGGAGTATGTCGTCCAGGATTGTCCGGAACCAGTAGCAGGCGTCGTCCGGTGATACAGGCAACGACCAGTCAATCGTGTTGAGGAGCATTTCGAAGGAGGAGAACACGTGCGCGACGAACGGCTGGATCGCAGCGATGCCGTCGCACTCACGAATCCTGGGCGCCGAGTGCTCGACGAGTTGCCAGATGGAGTCGATATGCCTGTACATGAACTTGAACTCCCGGGTGAGGACGTCTTGAGAAGGTGGGTCTGCGCGTCGGAGGCGACGGTCGCTGACGAGCGTTTGCATCCGGTGAGCTGCCGCGAAGGCAGCTGCGGTCATGGTGAGCGCTCTGACTTCGACGGGGTTCAGTAACTGGTGAAGTCACAGACGCACCGAGTTGCAACATTCTGATGTCACGGATCTCCCGGAACGTGTTGCTGAGCAACAGGTTGTCCCATTCTAACTGTGTGATCGCGGGTTCGTCCTTTCTTTGCATGCTGAAGAAGAGCAGTTGGGTCCCAGTCTCGATATACTCAGATGAAGCGGGTGTGCTCGCCGGGAGGATAGCGCCTTTGTCTCCTCCACTCTCGAGCATTTCAACAGAGAATCCGCCGTACGCATGCAAGACGGGGATCGTAAACATCTTCATCATAAATCCTGGCCATTGAAGCCGAGACCCGTAGAGGTCCGAGAGGCGTTTGAAGGTCCATTCCCGATACGACTTGGCAACCTGTGGGTCGCTGGATAGGCACATCGCGGCCGTGTGCGCCAAGCCCGTGTTTTGAGAGCTGACCAACGCCCAGTGGACCGTCTGAGCGTCGAGATCGGTTGCGCTTCGTGAAAGAATGGCCTCTTCGTCGCCTTTCCATACAGTGGGCTCTGGAAATCCCATCGAGAGTGAGAGGAGGAATTCGAACACTCTTTCCGCCCAGGGATTTTCGGACTCAGAACAGGAAAAAAATGGAATGCAGAATAAGAAAGGGGGCCAAAGCACGATGAGGACAGGTTTTATTGACATATCAACGAACCGGGAGAAGGAGACAATGGCACTCCAGAGAGGAAGGAAGGCCCTGGATTGAGGCGAAAAGTAACACATCGAGGGGTTGATCGAGGGGACGATGGTTGTGACGATGATGAAAAGCAGGAGCATCCCAACGAACACTGCGGTGGCGGAGAAGACGCGGACATCGGAGTGGAAGAGGAGGATGAGGAGGCCGACGAAGAACAGAATGACGGCGGTGATCAGAAGGAGAGGCACAAGCGAGATTATAGCAGGGATGTACGCCTTTTCGAGGGTCGAGAGCCGGTAGATGCGGCGCCGTGTGATTGGTGCGGAGAACCCGTAAAGCCCGGTGTTGTACTCTTTGAGCCACTGCTTCACCATGATCCCGATCGTCGCCGACGACAAGCTGAATGTAAGACTAGTGAACCAGAGCGCATTCACCCAGACGGCCCAGGTCTCGGGGCGAAACGGGGTCGGCACGATGTCCCCGAACGCCAAGGCGGTAGAGTTGACGAATGAGGGATTGAGGGCGAAGCTTTTGAGCTGGGCAGAGACCTGAGTCAAGATCGCGTTGGTTTGATCGCTCGATTGAGGCTGGAGCATTGCGAAGGCAATGGTGTTGAACGCGGTGAGAGCGGCGGAGAACAGACCATCCTAAGCGATCGCGGGTGAGGGTCACTGCCGATGCACAAACGTCGAGACGTACAAAGGTCAGGAGGCCGTCGATCTCCTTGTTCCACTGGTCGACGAGCTCGTCACTATACTTCTCCACCGTCTTTCTGGTCTCGGTCCACGCCGCATCGATCTCCGCCTGCTTGAAATTCTTAGTAGGCAGTATCTATCGTTCAGATTATTCGGCATGTATCAATGCAAACGAGTGAGATGCGGGACGTACTATCACATCGCCGTGAATATCCGGCAGTTCTTTATCTCCTGCTGCTAGCGATGGTTCGATACGAGTCTGCGCACCCCATGAATGTCCATCTGGCTGCGTGTGAATGATATACTCACGGGTTCGATCCCACCAGCGTTCCGTTCCGTTCCAATCCCCTCGTTTGCCGGTTGTGGGGGCTGATCGATAGTGGGCATACGAGAGGGACGTGGAAGCGTTTGAAATATACCTTCTTGAATTCGTGAAGAATCTCCTTCAGCAGGGCGCATACATTGTCAAGGGACGCGTTCACCTGATCGAACTTCGTGAGTCATTGTAGGGTCTGAAAAGAGTGACATACATACTGGGGTCGTCCCGGCGGAGCACGTATCCTCGGGGAGACGAGCGGTCTCTGCCAAGTCCCGATGATCATCTGCGGAGGTTCGTTGAAGGGACGATTGCGGCGAGGTCTGGGTGTGAGTGCATCAGCCGGTCGTTCGCCTCATTGGGCAATTCACGTTTGTGCGCACCGGAGCGCGGGGTGAATCCTTGGCAGAGACGGTCGGCGAGGGGGGCATAGTGACTCGTGAGGCTGACTGGGATGGAGTTTTTCCTGAGCGCTGGATCTCGCGAGACGGGATGTGGGTGGGGACGTGGGCGGGGACTAGGACGGGGAGTGAGCGGGAGGGGAGCTGAAGAGAAACGACGGCCTACCCATGTTGGACGCATGCGCTGACCGCGCGAACTCGGCGAGGCGACGGAGATTGAGCCCAGCATCCAGGGAGGATCATCTCAGATAGCGTTATATGAATGCTCTCGTCCACGACGTGAAGTGCGAGGCGCTCCGTGCGGCGTATTCAATGCGTGCCTTGACCATGTCACCTACTCGCTGTCACAATCCAAGTCGGCGGTGTCAGCAGCTACTCCCAAACCCAAGAAAGACGATATGTACTCGAAGTTGAAGGCGGACCGGTCGATCGTGCTTCTGAGCTGCCTTGGAAAGCTCTGTGAGAAGGCGCTGGCGGTGCGACTCCGCTAGTACTTCAACGAGGGTGGCACTTGTCGCAGTTCGGCGAGACGTGACGAAGCAGAGGCCTATAGTCGATGTCCGACGCTGGCCTCTGCTCGTGCATCAAATTCGCCGGGCGTGGGCGCGCGGGATGGTCCGACACGTCCGTTTTCGCGTTCGACGTCGCACAGTTCCACCTCCGAGGGCGCCAGAGATACGCGCCAGTGGAGACGCGCCCAGGTGGGCAGCAACGGAGCGGGAACGCGAGCGGTGCGCACCATCCTCCTCCCCCCGTCTGTCTCGTTTTCACGCTTTACGCCCCGTTCAGGCGTCCACCGCCGCTTGGTGCCAGCCATCTCCTTTGCCGAATCTGCTAGTGGCGCCCACGACACGCACGACACGCGAGGATGGGATCCGGACGTGAAGAAGCTCGTCCATCCGCCTCACCCGCTTCACGCCCTCCACCGCGCACCCCGCCTCGGCCGAGCACCTGCAATCGCGGGTGCCCGGTGCCCGGTGCTCGGTGCCGCCTTCCCCTCCTGCTTCGCCCGCCCGGCCTACCACACGTACGGTGGACACCTGCGGACGTCCACATGGGCGTCCTCTACTCGGAGATGACGATGTTGGGGTCGCCATGAGTTCCGGCGACCACTAGCTCGGTGAGTACACCCCGTTTTGTGCTCTCCACCTTGCTCTCCTCCGCTCTTGCGCACCTCCTGCTTGTTCGCGCGAGCACGTCCGACTCGTGGGTGCGGCACGACGTCGCTGCCGGTGTTGTCCCCCACTCTCCGCCTCACCCTCCTCCGCCCCCGCACACGTCCCGCTCGTCCATGCAAGCACGACCTAGCCGCGCTCTGTGCGCTTGTTCGACTCGCGGGCGCGCAACACCACGTCTCCGTGAAGATCATCGGCAAGGCTCACAGGGAATCGATGGTCATCGAGGAGGTTGACAAGCACTTCGGTTGTTTCGAGTGCGTAGACGTTGCTGTACTCATCCAGGGATCTCCCTCATCACATCTTAAGCCATACACGCCAGTAACGGCACCTCTTACCTGTTGAAAGCTGGTCTTGCATGTTTACCACAGCATCTCGCCGAACCCCAGCACCCGAATCCCAGCACCCGAATCGACTTCGCGGGTTCATCGTTCCCTACCCCTATCTTCCCCTCGCGCGCATCTCCGACAAGCTCACTCCAGGCCAGCTCGTGATGCTCGACCTCCGTCTCGGGTGGCAGTAATACCTCAAGCGAAGGCACGACACCATCCAGATGGACCGGCTCGGGCTCCCCTCGCACTCGGCGGACGGGCTATACATCTGGCAAGACGCGTTCACCTCGTTCGGTGAGGGCCACGGAGGCGGCGAGCGTCACGCTGATGTACGTGGACCTGCGCACATGCTTGTCGCGCGCGATCGCTTCCCCCTCGACGACTCCCGTCCCTCGTCACCTTCACCGGCGATGACACGACGACGTTCGTCGACTTCGATTCCGATCCGCCTCCCCGTTCCGCACGCCAGTGGACGGTCCTGAGCCACGGCGGCGGTACCGCTCTCCGCACGTGTCTCAAACGCCAGCAGGCGCGCCCCGCCGCGAGGTTCTGGGGCGACAAAGCGGATGGGTGGAACGCTACGCACTGCAGGTCCGCATGCTCCATTTTCTCGCCCCGCGGTCGCTGACACCGTGCGGTCTCTTTCTCCCGACAGCACTGCGATGCCGGCACGGCCTTCGACTTCGACGTGAGGCCCTTCGCCATGACCGATCCCGCTCTGGCCTACCTCCAACTTGGTGCGTCAGAGCGCGGCGTAGAGCAAACGCACGACGACGACAGTGAACGCGGGATGCAGCGTGTGCCGTGCCACTGCTCGTGCGCGCGGCGCGGTGCATGTCTAAGGTATTGACACGATCGCGAACGGGCCTGCGGGCCTGCGCGTCAGGAGGAGTGGGGCTTAGACTCGTCAGAGGAGTTTATAGTTACAATTCAGCGCCTACGGTGCATATATACATGCGGTGCTCTGCAATACCACTGTGTAATGCCATGGTGTTGAGCGCACGAACCTCCACGGGTTTCCGAGGGTCCACCGTGTGTCTGCACGGGTTGGATGACCCATACCCGAGGGAACCGTACCTGTGGTGATGCCTACGGGGTACAGGCTACATATGTATGATCCTCGTTCGCGCACGCCCCTCCTTCTGCGCACACGTCGGCCTTCAGAACAAGAACCGCTGACGAAGGCTGAAGCACGTGCAAATATCGTACTCCAGTGAGCATCCGGAGAACGTTCGCACACGTACTTATGGGTATGTTTATTCGATAGAGTACGACAAGACGAAACACCGAAAGTATCGGCACGAAGGCACGACAAGAACGTACACATTGAGCAATCTTGGGCGTCGCCGACGCGACTAGTCCGCACCGTCCACGTCCGCGACAGACATCGACAGCTCCGTCCGCAGCCGCTTTGCCACACGCGACTCCTCTTCGGGGTCGTCCTGCTCCTGCGTCTGCGGGGGCAGCGGCGCCGCGTATCCGATCCTTCGTCGTCACTCTCCTCCGGCAGCGACTTGCGCTTCACCCCGTGCGCATCGGCGACTTCCCGACCCGTGTGTCGTCTTCAAGCGTCTTGTTTTATCGCATCGGCCCGTGGCCTCCTTCATTGCGTGACGCTCGGGCTTCTCCACGGGCTCCTCCACAGGCCCCCACCGACCTCGCCCAGAGCCTCCCTGCCCACGTACGCATGTCCTATGAAGGCGCCGGGAGCTCCTCGCCCGCCCGCCGCGCCCGCGACAGCACCTCCGACCGCCGCTGAAGCCTCTCGCGCTGGGTCCCCTCGCTTGCGGCGGACCGCGGGCGCGAGAGCACGTGGCCGTGCTTGAACACGTCGGCGTCGGCGTCGCGCACGGGGGCCGCCGCGCGCTCGGGCGACGGGTGCACGGCGAGGATGAGGCTCGGGGCGTCGAGGGACATGCGCGAGCCCGCCGCGGAGCGCATCCATGCGTCCTGCTCCCCGTCCATGCGGAGCAGCGACGCCGTCCCGGGCAGTCCCATCAGCGGGGCGGCGGGCGGAGGGGTGTGCTCGAGCGTCGCCGCCGGCCCGCCGTCCGGGATGGAGGGGGCGGAGGGGAGCGACTGGAGCGACGCGGTGCGAAGCGCGGGGGGAGTCGCGGGGAGCGGCCGGGGCGCGCCTTCGAGCTCGGCCTCGGTCGCGAGCCACGGGTGGTACAGCGCACCGAGCGACATGCGCTTGCTCGGGGAAGACGCGAGGAGCGCGCGGATGAGCTGCTCGGCTGTGGGTGTGTGCGGGGCCGAGGTCAGCTCGCGCGGCTGGGAAGAAGGAGGGCACATGCACTCTGCTCGCTCACGCCGCACTCGTACAGGAGCGTCCACCGCACCCGGCGGGTCGTGATGTTGGTATGGATGTCCGTGTTCGGCGGGTCTGCGTCGAACGGGGTGCCCTGCATGAGCTTGAGAGGAGAAAATGGTCAGCACACCCGGACAGACGCACATGGCAATGGCAATCACGCCGACGCTCCAGCTGTCGACCAGGTTCGAGTACCCGTCCGGTGTGGGCCCTGAGGAACGCGGTTGTGCGCCACGATGCCTTGAGGTGCAAACGAGGAAGAGTCCTCGAGTCGAAAGAGCGAAGTCGGACGGCGATTGCAGGCGGTTTGTTGGACGTTGGCGGGCATGGCGAGCGCGGGTGGTACCGTCAATTGGGCGCGTCCTCCGTTATCGAAAACACGCACGCCTGCGTGTCCGCCGCGGAAGGCTTGTTGGTTGGGACATCGGCTGGAATGGTGTCCGTGAACGTGTGCAGGCGCACGGGGAGGGGAATCATAGGCAGCGGGCCAGAGATCGCTATGAGGAGGTCTCGGCACCGTGCGTACGTATGTGTCGTCGTTAGCGCAGGGAGCGTCCAGTCGTAGGCCTCAGTGAGACTGCGAGTGCACTGGCACCGACTGCGAGGAAGCTGGGTGCGTGTACCTGCAGAGGCGAGTGAGCTGGGGTAGGACGGAACGGCAGGCGTCCGATAGGGACCACGCTACGAGTGTTATGCGTCGCGTTTTGCGAGAACGAATGGTCACGCTCGAGCGCGAGCGTGTGCTGCACATTCTCTGATTGCACGAGATGTAAGCGTAGGATCTTAGTGTAGGGATGTTGTGCACCTACCTCGCACAGGGTTACATACGGCCTGGGGCGTTCAGAGTTAGGTGAGGCCGTGGTACGGATGATTGAGATGTCGTCTGGCGCGTTCCTGCGCGAACAAGGCCGATGGTAGGACATGGTTGGCGCGGAGGGCGGGCGTTGGTGGGGCACCGGCGCGGTGGAATGAAGGGGTGCGGACGATGGAAGAGACAGAGGGAAGTGTTGGCTGGGAGAAGGGCTCAGAGGATGAGAGGCACGTACGAGTGGTCAGTCGCAAGCACGCTCTGTCTGGGCTCGGCGCTGACACCAACGGGCATTTGGAGTAGCGGCGCGTGTCTGGTTGGTTTGAACACGCTCGTTGAGGGATTCTTGGATGATGTCCGGCGGCGCCGGGGAGTGTGTCGAGGGTGTGGGGACCGTCAGACGGCCGATCTGTGCATGTTCGTTGAGAGAGCACAGCGATGCGCGGGAACTCAAGTACTCACGGACGGGACAGCCAAAGAGGCGTGCAGGAGCGGGGCGGCGATGGTCGATGGTCGACGGGTCAAGAGGCGTCGGGACGCTGGGGGTGGCAGGTTGTGTCGACCGCGGCACGCCCTGGGACGCAACGGCGTGGGGGCGAGTGTGTTGGGCGAGGTCTTGACGCGTCTACGGGAGCCGATACGTCGTGGATGAGGCGTTGTGTCGACCGCGGTGCGCCCTGCATTTGAGTCAGTCAAAGGCTGGGAGTCGGCGTGCGCCAACCGCAGGCGCTCGATTGCGTCATGCGCGCGACTCAGAATCCAGGTGTGTTCCTAAAGTCACCCTCCTCCTCCTCCTGCACACGTCGCAGTTCGGCGGGACGAGGCAGGGTCACAGCCTTCTGTGGTCGAAGCTGGCCTCGTTCTCGTGTATCACATTCGTCAAGCGTGGATGCGCGGGATGGCCCAGCGCATCTGTCCTCGCATTCGACCGGTACTACCTCGCACAGTTCTACGTACCCCCTACTATCTCTGCCGCCGCCTCGCGAACATCGACCGTGCCCTAGTGAAGACGCGCAGGGGTGAGCGGCAAGTGGGGACGTCAGAGCTGAGAGCGGTGCGCACCGTCTTCCTCTTCCTCTCCCTCCTCCATCCGCCTCACCCGCTTCCCGCCCTCCACTCGCGGGCGCCCGGTGCCCGGTGCCGTACTCTCCACCTGCTTCGCCCACCCTGCGGGGGATGTCCACCAGGGGCTCGGAGATGAGGATGTTGGGGTCCCCATGAGTTACGGCGACCCCTAGCTCGGTGAGTGCGCCCCATTTTGTGCTCTCCACTTCTGCTTTGCCCCCGTCCACCTTGCCTTCCTCCCTTTTGCGCGCGTCCTGCTCGTTCGCGCGGGCGCGTCCAGTTCGTGGATGCGGCACGCCGTCGCTGCCGGTCTTGTCCCCACCCTAGGCGGATGAGGTGTATTGCATTAGACCCGCGTCGTCCGCGGAGAGCTATGTGAGTTCTTTCCTTACTGTATGCGCATGTTGTCCCAAGAGATGGACTTTATTCGCTGGCATAGACACGATCGTGGAAGTGTGCGGCCGAAGCCGTGCGCAGGTACGTGTTCGCAATTTTTGAGCGCATAATACCTACCTTGAGTATGTATACTGTACACCCAGGTTACGGCTGTCTGATGAGCGAGAACGCGGACTTTGCGGAGCGATTCGCGCTGGAGGGGATCGCGTTTATTGGGCCTCCGGCGAGTGCCATCGTGAGCATGGGCTCGAACAGGTGTGTGGTTCTTCTGCGAGTAGCCGTAGCGGCGAGGCTAAGTGCGGAGACAGCGTGTCGAAGAATATCATGTCTGCTGTAGGTGTTCTGGTCGTCCCTGGCCATCACGGGAACCAGGACCTCGACTTCTTGCAGCAAGAGGCTTTGCGCATAGGTACGAAGGTCTTCATCTTCTCCTGCGCTCGCCTCCCCGCATGAGACTTGCCACATAGACTACCCTGTTCTCATCAAACCCGTCCCAAGAGTGCGCATCGTACATGCACAAGGCGAGTTCCCACAAGGCGCTTTCTTCTGCTCAACGCAAGGCGACGAAGTCGTTCGGCAACGCAGAGTGTTGGGCGGCCCCACGTTCGGCGTCGGTTTCCGCTGATTGAGACCGTTGAGGAACACTTGCTTGCAAGTCGAACACCCTGATCACCGAACTTGATGTCATCCAGCGGCAACTAGAGGTGAGTATTCGACTATTTGTACCCTTGCATTTGCTCATGACTTTTGCGCAGGTGGCAGCTGGAGATGCGCTTCTTCTCGACCAGTCCTCAATACCACTCGTCAGGCGTGCTTTCGAATCGCGCCTATACGCCGAGAACCCACGCAACTTCCTCCCCGACTCTGGCCAACTCGCCCACCTATCCACACCCACGCCTACTCACATCTTCACGGCTCCGCCGGGTGTACAACGCATACCTCTGGGAGAAAGTAGCTCTCCCTTCATGCTCGTCGCGAACACATCTGCTGTCATCGCGCCATCACTTCGTGTCGAGCAAGGATTCGAGCAAGGCACACAAATTGGCTTCTTCCAATCGTCCATGGGCACGATCGCACGGAGGCTATGAGGAAGCCGCGAGGTGCGCTGGAAGAGTACAGAGGTCGACGAACATCAAGTTCTTGAGGGCCCTCGGGGGAAACCAGGCGTTTACAGATGGAGACGTCGAGACAGGATTCATTCCGGTAAGCCTCACTGCTTATTGCGAGGTTTGTATTAGCTGACTTTTACTCGTAGAAACACTTCCACGAGCTCTTCCCACCCACACCTGAACCTCCCGATGAAGCTCTCGCACAAGCCATGTCGTCCTGCGCGACGAGCCAATTCCTGCTTCCTCCAACCCTGAGACGACACTCACTTCTCGTGCTTCAACGCGACGTTTACGAGAACCATCACCCTCCAACACACATCCCTCTCCCACCTTCTCCGTCACTCGCTTGCGTCCACCGTGGCCGCCTCCCTCCCGGACAGTTTCTCGCCCACCTTCGCTGCCGTATCCGCCGTGCTCGAGTCCCCCCTCACCTTCGCCGGCGCACGTGCCCGCACGACCATGGTCCCACCGCCCGCCCCCGCCTCGCCCTCGCGCGCGTCCCGCTCGTCCATGCAAGCACCACCTAGCTGCCTCTACGCACTGCTCCGACTCCCGGGCGCGCAGCACCACGTCCCCGCTTCCCGGCTGCGTTTCCTTGCCCTCCGCCTCCGCCTCGCCCTCCACGTTGTAGTAGCATACTAATAAATATATCTTCATCTCTCACAATACACGAGTACACCCAAAAGTTGTGTTTGGAAACCATAAGGGGGCTTGGGAGAGGGCGAGCATCGGTGGATTACTGTTGGCTCAGATTGCGCAGCCATCTCCTGTCCTTGTTACACGACGCGCCGTGTACTATACGTCTGGTTTGCTCATATCCTTCGAAAACATGTTGTAGTGGATCCCCTGCACATGCATGACCCTCGTTCCTGGTGTACTCACGAGTATGCGCATTCTATAGCGTACGACAAGACAGAACAACGAAAACATCGACACTAAAGCACGACAACAATGTACACATCCAGCACTTTTGGGCCGACTAGTCCGTGCCCTCCACGTCCGCGACAGACATCTCCGACAGCTCCGTCCGCGGCCGCTTCATCACGCGCGGCAACTCCTCTTCAGAGTCCTCCCGCTCCTGCGTCTGCGGCGGCAGCGACGCCGCGTATCCCTCGCCTTCGTCGTCACTCTCCTCCGACAGCGACTTGCGCTTCGCCCCTTGGCGCATCGGCGACGCCACCGCCTTCCCGGCCGGTGTGTCGTCTTTGAGCGTTTTAATTTCTCGCATCGGCGTCGCCTCCTTCATCGCGTGACGCTCGGGTTCTTCCACGGGACCCCCACCGACCTCGCCCAGAGCCTCCGCCGCCCACGCCCGCATGTCCTGCGAGGACGCAGGGAGCTCCTCGCCCTCCTGCAGCGCCCGCCACAGCACCTCCGACCGCCGCTGGAGCCTGCCGCGCTGGCTCCCCTCGCTCCCGGCCGACCGCGGGCTCGCCAGCACGTAGCCGTCCTTGACCCCGTCGTCGGCGTCGCGCACTGGAGTCGCCGCGCGCTCGGGCGACGGCGGGCACACGGCGAGGATGAGGCTCGGGTCGTCGAGGGACACGCACGGGCCCGCTGCGGCCTGCTCGCCGTCCATGCGGAGCAGCGACGCCGCCCCAGGCAGTCTTCGCAGGCCCATCAGCGGGGCGGTGAGCCGCGGGGCGTGTGCAGGCTCCGCCGCGCGCGCGCCATCCGCGACGGAGGGCAAAGAGGGGAGCGTGTGGAGCGCGGGCGGGGTCGCGGGGAGCGGCTGGGGCGCGCCTTTGTCCTCCGCCGAGGTCACGAGCCATGGGTGGTCCAGTGCGCTGGTAAGCGACATGCGCTTGATCGGCAAGGACGCGAGGAGCGCGTGGATGAACCGCTCTGCTGTGTGACTGCGCGGTCAGCTCGCGTGACGAGGAATAGGGAGGGGGCACGCACCCTGCTCGCTCACGTCGCACTCGTACAGGAGCTTTCACTGCACCCGGCGGGTCGCGATGATGGTATGGATGTCCACGTTCGGCGGGTTTGCGTCGAATAGTGTACCCTGCGTAGCGTAAGTTTGAGGAGAGAGACTGGTCAGAGCATTGCATCGATCGCGGCGCCCGAACGGACGCAAAGACGATCACGCTAGCTGTCGACGAGGTTCGAATACCCGTCCGGTGCGGGGAACGCACCGTGCATGGCCACCTCAGGTGCGAGGTATATTGGGGTACCGCAGAACTTCTGGATGCGCGTGTTAGCAACGAGGAACGCCGGCCCGCGATAGATGCTCACCTTGATGATCGTCTGGCCTTCGCTAGCCCAAAATCGAAAATCTTCACGCCGGGCGGATACTGGTCCGTCGGGGGATTTTTCTCCGGCTCCAGGTCACGGTGAACGATCCTTTAATCGTGCACGTGCTGCAGACTGTGATCAGAGGGCGATGAGGTGGTAAGGTGAGAGGTGCTTACCGACAGGGCGTCCCAGATCTGGTATGTGATCCTTGTGTGATCCGCGTCCGCTGTGACGACTGTGAGCGCATATACCAAGGCAACAAACGAGGCGGAGGCGCACGCAGCCCGCGGTCTGTGTTGGTGATACACTTGAGCAAGTCTCCCGCAAGAGACGAGTTCCATCACCAAACCTGCATACTCAGCTCGTCAGAGCTGATCTGGAGGGCGTCGTCAGCGAGCGATGCAGTGCGGCGCCGGGAGATCACATACTCGCGAACTTCCTGCTCATCGAAAAGTCGGCAACCCGCGCGGAGTGGTCCCTGTCCCACTCGATAGAGCAGTGGGTGCTGCCTGGGGGCGGGCGTGTTGGTCAGACGGGCGGGCGCACGAGGGAGCGGGCGCGGACGTACTGATGGCTCGCGAGCCTACATCACCCGAACCAGTACATGCGCTGCGCATTGACGAGATGGATGCGCTTGATGTCCCGGTTCGCGGTGTTGCAGGGGATGAGCACGCCCCGCAAGTCGTCGTCGTCGGCTGGGTGTTCGGTCTGGGACACGAGCTGGGTTGCTACTTGTGTCTGAAGGCGCTATCTGCTCCGTCGTGAGTGGGGACCTATCCGGGACGAGATCAGCGAGAGGCGAGCGCATACAGCGGCAGAGGCGTACGCGGGAGGTGAGTCTGGCGACGACGTCGTCGTGACACGTCAGGGACAGTTCAGTGCGCCCATACCCTTTCTATAGCGGGTGGATTGCAGCCGATGTCGGATGGATGATCTGGGGGCGCCGCGCCAGGTGTGCATCAAGGTAAATTCTGTGGGGGCGCTGGACGGAGGTGGAGGAGGGACGGGAAGGCATCGCGGACTGGTAAACCATCTGGCAACGTGGAGCAGCCCATCCGTGGAGCAAGCATGCAGCAATAACTGCGTATTTCCGCACCGCGCTAGATGCAGCGAGATCCCCGCGCAGACGGCGCCAAAGCACGCAGGCGGAGCGGGAGAGACGTGGGGGCGAACGCGGGGGCGCGCGCGACGCCGTAGCCGGCAAGGGTGGGTGCACCATCGCCGAGAGCGGTCGCCGTCGCCGAGCGCGGTCGCGGACGCTGGAACGCGATCTGACTTGACTGCGCCGGTCGAGCGTCGAGTAGGGGCTGGAGGAGGAAGGTGCAATCGCTTTCGAGCGACCGGTCTGCGGAACCCGAGGTAGAACGAGTTTGCAGCAACGAGCGGTACCGTACGCGAGTCGTCGCTGCCGTGGATCGAGGCAAGTGTGGGCCGCACGCCAGTGGCCGACCGTCGCGAAGGGCGCACGAGATGTTCGCGATGCCACGTGCGCGGCCGTAGCTAGGCCGCGCTCGTGTTCGGAGGTATAAACGACAACGTCACCCCGCTAGTGCGGCCGCATCAACTTCTTCCACCCGTTCAGAGTCGCGGCCGACGCTGGGCTGCTGGGAGTAGGTGTCCGGCCGAAGTTGTCGCATACAGAGCCACGGCTTCTGTCGGAGGTGTTGCTCCGCATACAGTGGCCCGATCTGAGGCTCTGTGGAATTGAGGGCGGCCGCGCAGGTTTACGCACGAAGTCGACGTCCTCGATTCGCGGCCGTCGCACACGCGCTCCCGGGCGCACGATGCTGCATCGGAGCCGCAGTGCCCGCGACTGACGAGACGCTCCTGCGCTCCTCTGCTAGACGGGGCCACCCACGCATCGCGGTCGGCAAGAGGATGGCCCTCGATCTTGGGGACCCGTTAGCTCCGGCAAACCAAGCTCAAGATGCAGCACACACCTGAAGGCTCACGGCGCAGGCCATATTCCTCCCCCCACTTCTTCCGCTCTTCGCGACCTTCGCTGACGCCTCTCCGCCAGCGTATGCGGCCACGGCACCCTCGTTTGCCCTAGCTCAGTTGTTCGAACGGCCAGCTATCGGCTGTCGTCAGCGTGGCGGGGATGCAGTCTCGCAGAGTGGAACGTACGGCGCGCAAGGGCCAGGAAATGTGGGGCGCTGGCAAGGCGTGGGCGGTGCGAGCGCGGAGGGCGGATGCATAGTCGTGCTGTGCTCCTGCAAAATCCACAGCGCGCGCGCGTCCGAACTCGCGCACGGCGCGGCCTCCATGGTGTGTCTTGTGTCTGTGGAACACCGTCAGCACCGTCGCCACGACTACTGGAACCTCCCTGACACGGATCGTCCTCGCACAGAGCATTCGGCACGGGACTCAGTCATCTCTGCATCCCCACTGGAATCCGGACGCCAGAAGCCTGCCCGCCCAATCCCCCAGAACACGAATCCAGTGGGACTGTCTGACCTCCATGATTTGCCTGCGGTCGTAGATGCCTTCCCGCTACGGCACCACAGCAAAAGCCATCGCGGCCGTGGGGAGATCGAAAGGGACGCAGGACGGGAGGCACGCACGGGAAGAAGATAAGAGCGAGGGTGCGAAACGTACCTGGAGGCCCGATCTCATCCTCCGCCTGTGTGCGGCGACGTGCGTGCGGGCTTGCATCCGGCCGCGGGCGAGTGTGCAGAGGGGACGAGCTAGACCGGATGAAAAGAGAGCAGACGGAGTCGCAGAGGGTCGGCTGCCGGCCATGTTTTGCAGTCGCTGTCCCCCGGTCGGTGCGCGACCTGTGCTTCAACATTATGCTTGATCTGGAGGGCGTCGTCGGCGGGCGGTGTGGCGCAGCGTGGAGATATCACATACTCGCGAGCGTTCCGTTCATCGAATTGACCGCGGGCTGCGTGGAGTGGTTCAGAGTGGTCCCCGTCCTACGTCACTCGATCGAGCAGTGCGTCCCGCCTACGGGCGGCCGCGTCAGCCATCGGGGCAGGCACACGGAGGAGCGGGCGCGAACGCACTAATCGCCCGCGCGCCTGTGTCGAGCACGACGTCTTTGAGACAGGGCTTGCGCCCGAGCCGGTACGTACGCGATACGCTTGAGCCTTGATGTGTGCGTTCGCGGCGTTGCATGGGATAGGCACGCCCCACAAGTCGTCGTCGGCCGGGTGTTCGGTCTGGGACACGAGCTGCGTCGCGGTCTGGGTTTTGAGGGGCTGTGTTTCCTTTACCGTGGGTAGGTAAGTACCTGTGCGGGACGGTATCAGCGATAGGCGAGCGCATGTAGCGGGAGAGGCGTACACGAGTGGCTCTACTGGTGTCTTGTTGAGGTCTGGCATCGATGGCGTCGCCGTGATACGTCGGGAACTGCTCAGTGCACCGAACATCCTGTTCATACGGCGGGTCGATTGCAGCCGAGCTCGAGTCGATGGTTTGGGGGCGACGCACCAGGAATGCACCAGAGTAAACTCTGGCCATGGTTATGGGAGCGTTGCACATGGAGGAGGAGGAAGGACGAGAAGGCGAGAGTAGCGCTCGACTCGCCCTTGGCGTACTGCCTGCTGCTCAGCACGCCAGGGCTCTCGCGGCATGGATGACGCTGGACGAGGTCCACACGTCGCGTACCGGCTCAGGCTGCGCACGCGCACACGGCGGCTCGTCCTATGTGTGCCGGGCCCGGACGATGCGCAGGAGGTCGACGTGTCCCGCATGCGGCTGCGGCACCCCCTCGCGGACACGCGACCGGCGGTGCTGGAACTCGTGGTGGGCAAGGAGCGTTGCGCGATGGGGGCGGCGCTCCGGGAGGCGTTTACGGAGGAGGAGAGGTGCTGGGACAGCGTCACTCGGGCCGGAATTTGACGGGATGCTCGAGCGGGCAGCGTGCGCCGTCGCGGCCTGGTGCATGGCTCTGGCTCTTGCCCTGGCGGGCGGTCCCGTTGTCCCGCTGTGTGCGTATGCGTCATCGAGAGCGCAGGGAACGTCCAGCCGTAGGCCCTTGAGTGAGGCTGCGATTAGGAGTTCGACAGGAAGTGCGCCGGCACCGACCGCTCGGAGGAACCAGGGCGCGCGTGCCCCGCGGAAGCGAGCGAGCAGGCGTCAGACCGGGACGACGGTACGGGTGTACATTGTGTCTCGCGTCCTGCGATATCGAATGGTCCCTCTCGAGCGCGAGCGTATGCAACACATTTTCTGCTTGCACGGGATGTGAGTGTAGGATTTTGGTCTAGGAGCGTTGGTTACCTACCTCACATTCAACAGCCTGGCGCGTTGAGGGTTAGGTGCGGCAAAGGTACAGATGATTGAAGGGCGACGGTGCCGTCTGGCGCGTTCTGTGCGAACACAGACGTGGTTAGCGCGAACGACGGACGTCGGCGTGGTACAGACACTGTAAAACGATGGGGTGACGACGGCGGGAGAGTCGGAGGGGGGAGTCTTGGCTGGGAGAAGGCCTGGGGGGACGAGAAGATAGATGGGCACGTACGAATGGGTGGCAGCAAGCAGGCTCTCGTCTGATGCATCGTTGACCGCCCCCTCCGGGCTAGGTGACAACGACGGTAATTCGCCATCGGGAGTAGAGGTACGCGTCTGGTTGATTTGCACACGCTCGCTGACGGGCTCTTGGGTGATATCTGGCGGCTGGGAGTGCTTCGAGGGTGTGGGGACGGTGGTCGGACGGCAGATCTGTGCGCGTTCGTTGCGAGAGTACAGTGAAGGGCGGAGAGCGAAGGGTGGTCATACATGGATGGGACAGCCAAAGAGGCATGTGGGAGCGTAGCATCGATGTCGATGGTCGATAGTCGATCGCAGGTCGAAAGGCGTCGGGACGCTGGGGATGGCGGGTTAACGTCAGGCTCCTACCCAGCCGTCGGTTCGAGTTAAGTGGCCACGGCGCTGAGCGTGTCCCCTGCCTGGCGGCGCGGCGAGCCCTACGGGCCTGCGAGAGCAATACTTAGTCCATAGGATACGGCTTACCGAAGGATAGAACGGAAATAGAACACCGGGCCAGGCGGGGCTACGCCACCAGGTCACGGGAACACACTCAACACCGGGCACACTTAACTCTCACCGACGGCTGGCACCAAACATCAGTAAATAACGGGGCGTCGGCGCCGAAGCGCTCACAGCCCCTCCATTTGGGATGCCCGGGAGATTCCGAGCGTGAAAATGCCTGGGAGCGTTGCAGATTTAATGGCTGGCGCTTCCGTGGTTCGCGTCCCGCACGACGCGTCCGTGCCGCGTCCCGTACGCTCTCCGTCTCTACCATGAACACGCCACCCCAGGTCTTGCGCGATCTGGAGTCTCTTTCGCCCTGAGAATGGCTGGCATTTCTCTGCTGCAAACACCTCTCCGGACCAGCTGCCCGAGTTCCAGCTTGAAGATTATGCCCGCGATCTGGAGAAACGTGCACCACGGCTGTGGGAGCTTGTCCGAGAGTTACTCGCAGGTGCGCCCTTTACCCGAACCTGCCTTAGTTCATTTCGGAATTCGGTCTCTCTTTCTGCCCGCTGCACGCCCTCCGACGCCCAAGATGGTACAGACGATGAGGTTGTCGGGGAAGACGAAGACAACGAGCCCCAAACAGGTGATGGGCATGCTCATCCGGTCAAGCGCAGTGAGGTCGTACGCATAGTATGTAGCAGCCGGTTTAGGATAGTTGTTTCCAATCTTCAGCCGTCATCCCATATCACAGCGTGCGACGACCATTATTTTCATGCTCATTCAAGGCCAAGATCAATGAGCCAAGTCGTATCAAAGTGTCATGGGAATGTTCTTCCAGGCTGCCAACACACCGGAGAAGGTCATCAAGTCTGCAAAGACCTCTTGTGTCTTCTTGCAAAGCTCAGCGACACTTGGGAGGGGTTTCGGTGTGGACTTTGGAGCCTGAGGCGGTGGGGTGCGGACGGAGGCATGTCGACGGTGAGAGGGACTAGACAAAGCCGTATGCATGCACTGAATGTATGCGCGCGCGCGCGCGAGTACTTCGCGATGAGGCCGACGCGATAGCTCACGTGAGCGCGCAACTAAAATGCAGTGGGATGCAGACATAATTCGTGCTCGGGCAATTCCGTGAACACCATATTGAGGAGCTGCGAGCGCTTCGTCACCGGAGCTCCGTTATTTACTGATGTTTTGGTGCCAGCCGTCTTGGAGAGTTATGTGTCCCTGTGCCCGAGTGTGTTCCCGTGACTGTGTGGCGTAGGCTCGCCTGGCCCGCGTGCGTCATGCACCTAGCGTAGGCTCAGTCTGTCTGCAAGCAGTAGCGCCGCCAGGCGCGGGACACACGAGGGCGCTGGGACACATAACTCGACAAGACGGCTGGGTAGGAGCCTGAGGCAGTGGTGGCGTTTCCTCCAGCCGCACTCGTACCCGAGCGCACCGCATAGTTTCAGCGAAGAAATATATTGTGTCAGGGGGACTCCAGACACCGCACTGCAACGCCTCCGCTGCGGCATTCAGCGGCGCCGCGCATGGTGGGCGGCTCGGATTTCATCGCGATACGAGTCATGCGGAGGCAAGGGACGTGTGCTGTGGTGTTAGCGGGCCCACGCGAATACCTGTGCGAACCACTCACTGTGCACGTAGGCAGACGCAAGGGACCGGCCTTACGTTGAATGATCAGAAATGGCATCCGGCGTTGAAGTCGAACTTGATAATCGCCCACATGGCCGTGGCGCGCCGGGTGTTCTAGTCGAATATCGAGGCGCAGCCCGTACCATCAATTGTGTGGCCGCCACGGCGCGTTGAGCGACAGACGAGGAATGGTCCTTGAGTCGAACGAGCAAGGCGCGGGTGGTACAATCCATTGGGCCGGTCATCCGCGCTACACAGTAGTTTCCGAGTTCGTGGGTACCGCGCTCGCCGCGGTACCTGCAGGGAAGCGTCAGTGAGGTTGTACGGGCCTGCAGAGATGATCCAGCGCACGCACTTCTGACCACGCCACAGCGGGGCTCATGGCACACTCAATGCCTGTAGTGCAGGTCTGACCCGCTGCCCACGATGCCCCTCGAGCCCGTGCGCCTTTAGAATACGTTCACAGACACCGACCCAGCCGAGGACGCGCAGGCGTGCAGCGAGGATCTAGATACAGCATATAAGTATCTGAACTCAGTACTGTGTAGATATACATACCTCAGTCGGCCGCGGCCGCGGCCGGGCAGACAGAACGACTGAGGGACGAGGGACTGCGGCCGAGCGTTAGGCCCAGACGCAGCGGCGGAGAATGCCGAGGTACTGTATAGTACCTATATGCGGAAGGCGCCGTACGAGACACCACGCATCGTAATGTCGATGGTCAGGCCCGATGGACGATGGGCCACGCGCGTTCTTGGTGCGATGATTGTACCGAGGAGGGCGATGATCGGCGACGTGGGCGACAAAGTCCGGTCGAGGGGTTTGAACCCCTACCTCGCCGCGGTGACATTCGAAGCTGTCTGTATAGGCCAGTCGAAGCAAACAGCGTCTCAGCCGGCGAGCGTGGTTTGTGCAAAGCCGGCGAGGTCAAGGTACGCGCGGGCGGGCATGTTCTTGCGTGAGTGAGCAGGGTCAGTGGACGGCAGTTTTCGTCATGACGATGGCGAGCACTCACAGGGCGTGAACAAGCACGGTATGCAAGTGCTGCGTCTCCGCCCGCCAGACATCGCGCGCCACATGCACCAACCGATGCCCGTGTGGTGCGAGCACCTGACGGCTGCATGTACTGGCCAGCGGCGGCAGCGTCTCCCGCGTTGGCTGGGTCTAGTGCAGCTCCAGGTAACGCTCCGCCTCGGGCGACGGCCCCCGTCCGTGCTGGCGTGAGCGTGGGTTTGGTGGTGTGATGTGTAGCAATCCACGGACGGGGCGGGTGGGGCCGCGAACGACCCTGACTGGTTCCCGTACCCCAACGAAACTGCCGATCCCACAGACGTAGGCCGTGAGTGTGCGTGGTCTTGCGGGTGGCCGTGTGCGTGAGCCGCTGACCGCGGCGAGTGCGAATGCCCCTGTGGAGCACACGAAAACGCGTGACGTTGTTCCGGGCGGGTCATCGGGGGCTGCGTCGCCAGGTGCCTGCTGCTCAGCACGCCGAGGCTCTCGCGGCGTGGACGGCGCTAGACGAGATCCGCGGGTCGCTCGACGACGCGTGCCGGCTCGGCCTGCGCACGCACACGCGCCGGCTCGTACTGCGTGTGCCGGGCCCGCACGACGTGGAGGAGATCCGCATGCGGCTGCGGCACCCCTCGCGGACATATCGCTGGCGGTGCTGGAGCTCGTGGTGGACAGGGAACGGTGCGCGACGGGGGCGGCGCTCCGGAAGGCGTTTGAAGAGGAGGAGGGTTGCCTGGAGGGCATCCGGGAGCTTTCGCTTAAGCTGTAATTTGACGGGAGGCTCGAGCGGGCGGCGTGCGACGTCGTATGGCTTTGGCTATCAAGTCGAAGATCCTGACGTGATACATCGTATCAGTGACCGTCACGATGAGCTGAACAGGTGTATGTGAAAGATGGCGTTGTCGGACAAGAGGCCCTGTGAGGAAGTCTCGGCACCGTGCGGATGCGTGGTCGTGACTCGTGAGCGCAGGGAGCGTCCAGTCGAAGGCCTGAGTGAGACTGAGTGCGCTGGCACCGACTGTGGGCAGGCCAGGTGCACGTACCCTGCAGAAGCGAGCCAGTTGGATCTATAATGGAACGGCAGGGGCCCGATCGGGAGGGCAGTGAGAATGTTGTGCGTCGGGTTCTGGGAGAGCGAATGGTCCCTCTCGAGCGCGAGTGTATGTTGCACATTCTCTGCTTGCACAGAATGTGAGCGTGGGATCTTGGGGGAGGTACGTTGGGCACCTACCTCGGGCAGGGTCACATTCAACTGAGACCGGGCAGCCTGATGCGTTCTGAGACCAAGGTAAGGATGATTGAACGGCGAGTCTGGCGCGTTTTTGTGCAAACGCGGCCGATGGCAGGACGTGGGCAGCGCGGAGGACGGACATCGGCAGGGCATCGACGCGGGAGAACGAAGGGCTGCGGGCAGTGTGAGAGTGGAAGGGGAAAGTCTTGGGTGGGAAATGGGCTTGGAGGATGAGAAGGTAGATGAGCACGTACGAGTGGTCGGCCGCAAGCACGCTCTGGTCTGCATCCCGCTCCGGGCCAGGTGACAATGACGGGCATTGGGAATAGCGGCACGCGTCTGATTTGTTTGCACACGCCCGCTGACGGGTTCTTGGATGATGTCTGGCGGCGGGGAGTGCGTCGAGGGTGTGGGGACTGGCGTCGAACGGCCGATCTGTGCACGTTCGTTGAGATGGAACAGCGGAGGGCGGAGAGAGAAGGGCGGACACTAAAGTACTCACGGATGTGACAACCAAAGCGACGTGCAGAGCGCTGCAGGAGGTGGCGAGGGTCGATGGTCGACGGGTCGAAAGGCGTTGGGACGCTGGCGATGGCGGTTGTCTCGACCGCGGAATGCCCTGGGATGTAGCGGCGTGGAGGCGAGTGTGTTGGGTAAGATCTTGACGCGTTGGTGTGCGCAGGTGCGCCGTAGATGAGGCCTTGAGGCGTTGTGTCGACCGTGGTGGGCCCTGCTTCGACTCGTCCAAGGCTGGTCAGCAAGCTCCGGGCGCTGGGCGGGAGAGGCGTCACCGCAGGCGCTCGATTGCGTCATGCACGCGAGGAGGACGACTCCGCGTCGAGCGAGTTCGCGCCTTCCCCGCCCTCTCGACCGCCTCGCGCTCTCTCAGCAAGCGTCTGGGCGTCGAGAAGAACACCGAGTCCCGCCCTCTGCGTTCCGGCTCTCCGTGATCAAGCTCAAGGTCCGCCCGTCTTCCTTCGCGACCAACCATGCCTAACGTGAAGCCGACAGGACACAGTAGCTGTACATCCGGCACAGTTCGTCTACCTCCAGAACAAGCCATCACCAATACGCTCAACGAGGTCCACGCGAGACGCGTCTTGCACGGCGTCGGCCCGTGCACACGCGTTATCGACCTCGCGGAGCTACGGCAGGGCAAGGTGCGGCACGGAGATGGATGTCTGTGGTACAAAGATCGGTGAGTCTGTCTCGCACTAGGTGGAGGTACGACTACCAATTCTCTGCGTCTTCCGACCCTCTGGATCCGAGGTCATTCTCGCCAAGGTCAAGTCCTCGGATGAGGACGGTGTCCGACGTAAGTCTCTTCGGCCTCGTTCTCGCGCCCCGAAGCTAACTCGCGCCCAGTAACTGTCGGATTCTTTGGCGACATCTACGTCCCCCTTGTTTACCTGCCGGACCCCCGCGCCTTGTAAGTGCCCCCCTCTCCAGCATGTCTTCCCCGACACCCACGTCCGTCCGCCCCCAGCGACCCAGAAGAGCGAGCACAGTTCCGGCTTCCAGGATTGGAAGCAACTTGCTTGTCTCACGAGCTCCTCGAGTTGCCCCTGACGGACCGGATATGCATCAACGCCGGCGATGTCCTCCGGGTGCGCGTCGAGGCAGACGGGTTCCATGACGATGAGCTTGGTCTGCCGAAGACGCGTGAGGGCATTCAACAAGCTCGTGAGATGCGCCGTTCCCTGTATGCCGTTACCGTGAGTGCCTTCCCTGCTTCCCCCTGTCAGTGAAGAATTGCTCATGTCTGGTTCTGGTTCCAGTGCCCGATGTCAGAACAGAGACTTGGCCCGTGGAGGAACGCTGGCGTCCAAACAACGGACGATGGCAGACATGTAATCAGACCGGACCGCGTCCTTCTTGTTTGCTTGTATCATTCGATGACATGTTGTAACCTAGTTCACTTCAACCATGGTTAGCATTGCTGACTCGCAAGAGGAAGCGGAGCTGGAGGATGACATTTCGTGTCTGACTGTCATCACAAGCTATTCTGTTGAACCTGCCCTCTGTTCTCGCCACACAGACATACACGAAAGAATGAAGCCTAGGACCAGTCATCCCACGTCCTCAGGTAGTCCTGCGCACGAAACGCCATCCCTTCAACAGTGCGCGCGGTATATCCGTGGGTGCTGCCGGCAAAGTGGCTGGAACTGCGTCGGGCGCCACGGACATTTCGTGTGGAGTAGCAGCGGCGTCCGCCTCCACGGGGGAATCCGCAGGGCTGTGAGACGGGGTCAGCGTCGGGAATCGCACAGATGAAGGACGGATACGAGCTCGGGTTCCGCAGCTTGGTCGCTCTGTTTCTCCGGTTGAGGACCTGCGGCGGAAGACGACGCGTCCGGTGGAGGGGCCCGGGACGGCGGGACCTTCGAGGTGAGATCGAGGAGACGATCTTTGCACGTCTCCACCCACAAAATCCGCGGGTCCATGTGACGCCAGTCCTCCGTTCCAATGAGCTGTATGAACGCGCGCTCGAGCGCTGCAACGAGCGACGGTGTGACCAGATGGCGGATGCCGTCTGAGGAATGGGAGTGGAATTCAAGTATGTCGGACAGGATCCACTTGAACCAGTAGCAGGCGTATTGCAGTGATACAGGCAGCGACCAGTCAATCGTGTTGAGGAGCTTTTCGAGGGAGGAGAGCGCGTGCGCGACGAACGGCTGGATCGCAGCGATGCCGTCGCACTCGCGGATCCCGGGCGCCGAGTCCTCGACGAGTTCCCAGATGGGGCGGATATGGTTCCGCATGAACTCGAACTCGCCGGTGGGGACGTCTTGAGAAGGCGGGTCTGCGCGTCGGAGGCCACGGTCGCTGACGTACGTTTGCATCCGATGAGCTGCCGCGAAGGCAGCTGTGGTCACCGTGAGCGCTCTGACTTGGACGGCGTCGAAAGTGAAGTCGGAGACGCACCGAGTTGCAACGTTCCGGCGTCACTGATATTCTTGAACGCGCTGTTGTACCGCAATCTGTCCCATTCTGAGTCTGTTTTTGCGGGCTCAGCAGTTCTTTGAAGGCTGATGAGTATTTGGGTCCTGGTCTCTGTGTCGGGCGCCGTGGACGTTTTGTGTGGAGCCTTGGTAGCCGCGTCCACTGCCGCGAGGAAATCCGCGGGGCTGTGCGAAGACGCAGCGGTCAGCGTCGGGAGTCTCAAAAATGGCAAGGATGGATACGAACTCGTGTTTCGGAGCTTGGTCGCTGTGTTCCCCTGGGTGATCATCTCTAGTGGAAGACAGCGTGTCGGGCGGAGGGCACGGCGGGACCTTCGACCTGAGATCGAGCAGGAGATCATGGCACCTGCGCACAGGTGTGAAACCATGCGCCTCCACTCGGCGCCAGTCGTCCGTTCCAACGAGCTGTGTGAACGCGTGCTCCAGCGCTGTAACGAGCGACGGTGTGACCAGACGGCGGATGCCGTCTGAGGGATGGGAGTGCAATTCGAGTATGTTGTTCAGGATACAGCAGAAGTGGGAGGTGTTGTCCGGTGATACGGGCAACGACGAGTCAACCAGGAGTGTTTCGAAGGAGGAGAACGCGTGCGCGACGACCGGCTGGATCACAGCGATACCGTCGCACTTGCGGATCCTGGGCGCCGAGTACTTGACGAGTTCCCAGATGGAGTCGATATTCTTGTACATGGATTCGAACTCCTCGGTGAGCACGCCTTGAGAAGGCAGGTCTGCGCGTCGGAGACCACGGTCGCTGACGAGCGTTTGCATCCGGTGAGATACTGCGAAGGCAGCTGCGGTCACGGTGAGTGCTCTGACTTCAACGGCTTCGAAGGTGGAGTCGCAGACGCACCGAGGTGCAACGTTCCGGCGTCACTGATCTTCTGGAACGCGTCGTTTTCCCACAAGTTGTCCCATTCTGAGTCTGCGCTCGCGGGTTCGACCGTTCTTAGTATACTGACGAGCAGTCGGGTCCCGGTCGCTGCGTCGGGCGCCGTGGACATTTCGTGTGGAGTGGCAGCGGCGTCCGCCTCCACGGGGGAATCCGCAGGGCTGTGAGACGGGGTCAGCGTTGGGAATCGCACAAATGAAGGACGGATACGAGCTCGGGTTCCGCAGCTTGGTCGTTCTGTTTGTCCGATTGAGGACCTGCGGCGGAAGTAGTGATCACCACGGGTCACCCCCGGGTAATTCTGAGTCGACCCGTACCCGTACCCGCGAAACCCGGACCCGTGAGCTCACGGGTCAGGGTACGCTCGGGTACAGCGCTTGCAACCACGGGTCAGTCACGTGTGACAGCTGTTGTCGGCGCTCGCGCGCGCGGCGTACAGCTTGCCAGTCGCGACTCCTCCCTTCCTCCCCCTTCCCGCCTCTGTTCCTCTTCTCCGCGACGAAGACGACGCCGACCGCCGCCACAACCACCGCCATCACGATTGCGACCACGAGATGGGCGAAGAGCAAGTTGGTGTGGCGCGCATCGGCTGTGTGTGCCGGCAGGTCCGGGACAGGCCCGACTTCGACATCGACGAGCTGATCAACACGGTTTGGAGCGAGGACAACGATGACAATGAGAGGGACGACGCGCAACCGCGTGCGGCGAGTCTGACAGACTCGAGCCTGGACATGGAGTGGACATGTGAGGTAATGTACTTTCCTCCGTCTGCTCTCCTTTGCTGGCCGTTTCCCCGGGCCCCACCTACAGTCCCACGCGCGAGCCTGGCACGCATGCGTGCTCTACGATCGCGTCTGCCCCTGGGACGGCCTCATCATCCTCGTCCACATCACGGCGGCGGCGGCGCGAGCGGCGAAGCCCTCCCCACTCCTTTTCACAAGTACGTCGGCGGCGGGGGAGAGCGTGCTTCGACCCCTGGGCCACAGCGTGCCCCTCGCCCGGTAGGCTCTGGCCGGGCCACCACCTCGTGATTTTCTTGTGTTCCATGGTTCCTTTTACCGCTCACGCTCGCACAGTGTAGGACCCGGACATGCACACGTCTGTGCTTGATGTGTACTTGCATGTCTTGGAACTGAGGCTCAGAGGGACCCCTCGGTTCTCGGCCGCGGACCACGCCCTCGTCTTCGACTTCCACGAGCACCACTGCGTGTCCCCTGGCTGGCCCCTCCCGCTCTAGGAGCTGAGCGACGCGATGGTCGGGGGTGTGCTGAACGTGTGCCGCCCCCGCTCCTCCCTGGACGCATACGCGGTTGGCGCACCAGGGGCGCGGGCGGTGGGACGTGCGAGACGTACGTGGCGAACAGGGAGGAGGAGGAGGCCAAGGCGCGGGTGCGGGCGGCGGAGATCTTGGTGGAGATGGCGGCAGAGGGCGACGAAGTCGAAACCGCGGACCTGGACGGCGACTACGACGACCGCCGCCACGACCACGACCACGAAATGGGCGAAGAGCAGGTCGGAGTGGCGCGCATCGACCGCGTGCCCCAGCAGGTTCAAGACGGGCTCGACATGGGCATCGAGCGGGCGTACTTCGGGATTAGAGACATCTTCGTCACTGGCGAGGTTGCGTACTTTCATTTGTCTGCTCTCCTTTGCTGACCCACTTTCTCCCCAGTGCGCGCTCTGAACCCTCCCTTCCTCCTCCTTTGTTATCTCGCCTCCTCTTCTCTCTCTGGTTGGCTCCTCCCTCGTTATCAGCCGCCCGCACGCACGCACGAACAGACCCCCGCGCGATACTGGCAAGCCTGGCGTGCTCTACGGCGGCCACGTCCGCCCTTGGGACGGCCTTGTCGTCCTCATCCGCGTCCAGATCCCGCCAGTGGGCGGTCCATGTCCCGGTCCTCTCGCGAACCACATCGAGGGCGCCACGCTCGACGGACAGCGCACGAATGTGCCCTCCCTTCAGAGAGAAACCCCCTGGGGGTCTCTCCCGCACCTCGCCCTTCTCTGCACCCTCTCCAGCCCGCTGTCGCCGCCGCCGCCGCACCACTAACCCACGCCCCCGGCCTGTCGGCCCCCCGATGCGGGCAGTCGACCTTGGAGACAACGGACGTGCCCTCGAGCGGGACCGTGTGCGCACTCGCAGTCGTGTGCTGCCAGGCGCCGACGAGCATGCGCCCACCGACGACGTACCCGCGGTAGACAATGGGGAGGACAGCGGACGCTGCCGCTCGCGCCGCCGCTGCGACTGAGTGGCGAGTGCACCGGCGAGCCCCATCCCCTTCACCTTCTTGTGAGGTGCATGCGGTATGGCGATTACATACGCCAGAACACGCATCCTGGCCACCGCGCTCTCGGCCTGTGCCCGCGCTTCCAGCTCGCGCGCGTCCGCCGCCACCGTGGTCCGCAAGCGGGAGCGCGAGCACCTCCAGGCGCACGCGCACGCCGCAGACCGTCTCGAGGTCAGCCACGGCGAAGAGTGAGTGGACTTCCGGGTCTGGCTCGCGCTCACGCTTGTTACGCGGGCTTCGTGCGCGCATTGCATGCGGCCCTTGTTCCCCATCCGTATATGCCCTCTTCTGACTTGATCCAATACTATTTATTGCACATATAATGCACCCCGAGCCTACGAGTCACCACGGGTCGCCGAGGGTTCACCCTGCGGGTGCACGGGTCAGCCGAGCACGACCCGGACCCTTACCCGTGGCACCCGACCCGCCAACCCGCACGGGTGGCCACCACCCGTGGTGATCACTAGGCGGAAGACGACGCGTCCGGTGGAGGGGCCCGGCACGGCGGGACCTTCGACGTGAGATCGAGGAGGCGATGTTTGCACGTCTCCACCCACAAATTCCGCGGGTCCATATGACGCCAGTCCTCCGTTCCAATGAGCTGCATAAACACGCGCTCGAGCGCTGCAACGAGGGATGGTGTGACCAGATAGCGGATGCCGTCTGAGGAATGGGAGTGGAATTGGAGCATGTCTTCCAGAGTAAGCTCGAACCAGAAGCAGGTGTCGTTCGGTGATACAGGCAGCGACCAGTCAATTGTGTCGAGGAGCTTTTCGAAGGAGGAGAACGCGTGCGCGACGAACGGCTGGATCGCAGTGATGCCGTCGCACTCGCGGATCCTGGGCGCCGAGTCCTCGACGAGTTCCCGGATGGGGCCGATATGATTCCGCATGAACTTGAACTCCCAGGTGAGGACGTCTTCAGAAGGCGGGTCTGCGCGTCGGAGGCCACGGTCGCTGACGAGCGTTTGGATCCGGTGAGCTGCCGCGAAGGCAGCTGCGGTCACGGTGAGCGCTCTGGCTTGGACGGGGTTGAAGGTCAAGTCGCAGACGCACCGAGTTGCAACGTTCCGGCGTCACGGATATTCTGGAACGTATTGCTTTCCCACAGTCTGTCCCATTCTGAGTCTGCGCTCGCGGGTTCAGCCGTTCTTTGCATGCTGAAGAGCAGTTGGGCCACGGGCTTGTTATACTCTGATGAAGCGGGCGTTCTAGGAAAGCTGGTGTCCTCGTCTCCTCCGCCCTCGAGCACTTCTTGAAAAGAGAACCCGCCGGCCACGTTCAAGAGGGGTATCGTAAACATCTTCACCATAAAGTCTGGCCAATGGAGCACAGACCCGTATAGGGCCGAGAGGCGTCCGAAGGTCCATTCCCGATACGACTTTGCGACCCGTGGGTCGCTGGATAGGCAGATCGCAGACGTGTGCGCCATGCTGACGTTTTGAGAGCTGATCATCGCCCAGTGGACCGTCTGGGCGTCGAGATCGGTTGCTCTTTGTGAAAGAATGGCCTCCTCGTCGCCTTTCCATATTGAAGGGGGCTCCAGAAGCCTTCTCGAGGACAAAAAGTCGCGGAGGGCCTTCCATCTGTGCTCCCAGACACTGTCCTCTGAGCACCTCCAGTAACGAGTGTGAGAAAAAGAGTGGAGGGCATGTATTATTGAACGATAAACGGGCGAGTAGCGACTGAGAATGACACTCCAGAGAGGATGGAAGGCCCTGGACTGAGGCGAAAAGTAACACATCGAGGGATAGATCGAGGGGACGATGGTTGTGACGATGATGAAAAGCAGGAGCATCCCAACGAACACCGCAGTGGCGGAGAAGACATGGACGTCGGAGTGGAAGAGGAGGATGAGGAGGCCGGCGAAGAACAGAATGACGGCGACGATGAGAAGAAGCGGCACAAGCGAGATGATAGCAGGGATGTGCGCCTTGTTGAGGTTCGAGAGCCGGTAGATGCGACGTCGTGTGATTGGTGCGGAGAACCCGTACAATCCGGTGTTGTACTCTTTGAGCCATTGCTTCACCATGATTCCGATCGTCGCCGACGACATGCTGAACGTAAGACTAGTGAACCAGAGCGCATTCACCCATACGGCCCAGGTCTCGGGGTGAAACGGGGTCGGCACGATGTCCCCGAACGCCAAGGCGGTAGAGTTGACGAATGAGGGATTGAGCGCAAAGCTCTTCAGCTGGGCAGACACCTGAGTGAGGATCACGTTGGTTTGATCGCTTGATTGAGGCTGGAGCATGGCGAAGGCGATGGTGTTGAATGCGGTGAGAGCGGCGGAGAACAGACCGTCCTGAGTAGTCGCGGGTGAGGGTCACTGCCGACTCGGCACAAAGGTAGAGACATACAAAGGTCAAGAGGCCGTCGATCTCCTTGTTCCACTGGTCGACGAGCTCGTCGCTGTACTTCTCCACCGTCTTTCTCGTCTCGTTCCATGCCGCATCGATCTCCGTCTGCTCGTACTTCTTCGATGTTGGCGGGATCTATCGTTCAGAGTGTTCAGCATGTATCAACAGTGAAAACGAGTGAGATCCGGGACGTACTATCACATTGTCGTGTCTATCCGGCAGTTCTTTATCTCCTGCTGCTAGCGATGGTTCGATACGAGTCTGCGCACCCCATGGATCTCTAGTATCTGGCAGAAAGTGAACGATATACTCACGGGTTCAATACCACCAGTGTTACGTTCCGTTACAATCCCCTCTTCTGCCGCTTGCGGGCGCTGATCAATGGTGAGCATACGAGAGGGACGTGGAAACGATCACACAATACCTTCTTGAATTCGTCAAGAATCTCCTTCAGCAGGATGCAGACTTTGTCAAGGGCTGCGTTCGCCTGATCGAACTGCGTGAGCAAATTTTAGCTTCCGAAAAGAGAAAAATAGGCATACTGGCAGCGTCACGGAGGAGGGCGTATCTTCAGGGAGACGAGCCGTGTCTGGGGTTTGTTGAATGGACGAATGCGCCGAGGTCTGAGTGTGAGTGTATCAGCTGGTCGTTCGCGTCATTGGGTGATTCAAGTCTGTCCGTACCGGTGTGCGGGGTGAATGCTTGGCAGAGACGGTCGGCGAGGGCGGCATAGTGGAGTCAAGCGACTGGGATGGAGTCTTCCCTGAGCACCGGATCTCACGAGATGGGATGTGAGAGTGGACGTGGGTGGGGAGCAGGACGGGGAGTGAGCGGTAGGTGAGCTGAAGAGAAGATGCAGCCTACCCGTGTTAGTAGACGCATGCGCTCGCCGCTGACCGCGCAAACTCCACCTGGCAGTTCCGCGGTCGGACGAAGGAGAGGGCTACAGTCGACGCTGGGCTCATGCTCGTGCACCACACTCGCCAAACGTGGGCGTGCGGGATGGCCCTGCACGTCCGTCTTCGCGTTCGACACTGCAGAGTTCTACCCCTCATGATGCTCGCGAGATGCATGACCTGCGGCACCAGAGATATGTAGACGCCAGTGGAGATGCGCGTCGGTTGGCGGGAATTGGGCGGCAAGCGGGAACGCGAGCAGTGCGCACCATTTTCCTCTCCCTTTCCCTCCTCTGTCTCGTTTCACGCTTCGCACCCCGTTCAGGCGTCCAGCGGCACCTGGTGCCAGCCATCTCCTTCGCCCACCCTCCTGGCGGCGCCCACGACATGCACAACATGCGAGGACATCCTTAAGCTCGTCCGTCCGCCTCCCCCGCTTCGCGCCGTCCGCCACGCACCCTGTCTCGGCTGAGCACCCAATCGCGGGTGCCCGGTGCCCGGTGCCGCACTCTCCTCCTGCTTCGCCCGCCTCTGCGGCGTGTGGGTGGCATCCATCCGGACGTCCTCCACTCGGAGATAAGATCATGTTGGGGTCGCGATGAGTTACGGCGACCGCCAGCTCGGTGCGTACACCAGGCTCCTACCCAGCCGTCGGTTCGAGTTACGTGCCCCGAGGCTGAGCGTGTCCCGCGCCTGGCGGCGCGGCAGGCCTCTCGGGCCTGAAAGCATTAGTATGTGGGATATGAAGTAGCAATGGAAGGAATAGAATACCGGGTGGGGCCGGGCCAGACAGGTCTACGCCACAAGGTCACGGGAACACACTCAGCACACGGGGCACGTAACTCTCACCGACGGCTGGCTTCAAACATTGGTAAACAACGGAGCCCCGGCGCCGAAGCGCTGGCATCCCCTCCATTCGGGATTCTCGGGAGGTTCCGAAGGCAGAAATGCCTGGGAATGCAGCGGAATTCGCGGTCGCGCGTTGACGCGTCGATGCGCGTGAGGTGTATGCGCAACGCGTCCGACGATGGCCGTCTGTCTCGCTCTCCCGCTATGAGTGACCTTGCTGCCCCGTTGCCCCTGGACCCCAGTACACTTCACTGGATACTCGGCCAGCTCGTGAGCTACCGTGTTTCTCTGTCTCAGCTTATCTCGTTTGTACTCGTGCACAATCAATTCGACAACCCTGGCCATCCAATCTTTGACGACCTCGTTAAAGAAGGTCCCTCCATCCTCTCGGCCCTGTTGTTGATGTTCCTTCACGCTTGTAACACCCCCGAGAAGGTCATCAAAAAGGGTCGTGGGTGCGGAGTTCGGAGCCCGAGGTGGCAGAGGTGCGGATGATGGCATGGCAGCAGCGCAGGGAGGATTGTACAAATTCACTGAATGTATGCGCGCGACTTGCGCGACGCGACAGGCTACGTGAGCGTGCAATGGCTGTCATTAAATGAGAGAGGTCTCCGGGATTTCTCGTGCTCGGACAATTCCGTGCATCCCGTTCTGGTTGTTGCCAGCGCTTCGGCGCCGGGGCTCCGTTGTTTACCAATGTTTGAAGCCAGCCGTCGGTGAGAGTTACGTGTGCCCGGTGTTGAGTGTGTTCCCGTGACTTTGTGGCGCCGAGCCGCCTCGGCCCGCTTCTATTATTGCTTACAGCTCCATTAGAACTACTCTACTAGTCCCCAGCCCTCACGGCTGCCGCGCCGCCAGGCGCGGGACACGCTCAGCGTCGGGCACACGTAACTCGAACCGACGGCTGGGTAGGAGCCTGTGCGTACACCCCGTTTTGTGCTCTCCACCTCTGCTTGACCCCCGTCCACCTTGCTCTCCTCCGCTCTCGCGCGGGCCCTGTTCGCTCACGCGGGCACGTCCGACTCGCAGGTGCGGCATGGCGTCCCCATCACCCCGCTGCCGGTCTTGTCCCCACCCTCCGTCTTACCCTCCTTTGCTTCGCCGTCCTCCTCTCGCGCACGCGTTCCGCTCGTCCATGCGAACCCGACCTCGCCGCGCTCTGCACGCTCGTTCGACTCGCCGGCGCGCAGCACCACGTCCCCGCCAAGATCGTCGGCAAGGCTCGCAGGGAATCGGTGGTCATGGAGGAGGTCGAGCGCAAGCACCTCGGCGGTTTCGAGTGAGTCCTGAGACCATTAGCAGATGTCGCTGTGCTCACCGAGGGATCACCCTCATAACGTCTTACGCCCTGCACGCCAGTAACGGCCTCTCTTACCTGCTGAAAGTTGCCCGATGAATGTTGACCGCAGTGTCCACAAGCTATTCGCCAAAATCCCTTGCGAGCTTATGGCAAAAGGCTTCTCAGACTCATCCTCGACTTCGACGCCTCCAGGTCCATCTTTCCCTACCTATCTGCCCCTCGCGCACTCCGAAGGCGTGCGGCTTTCCCTCGCGCGCATCTTCTCCAAGCTCTCTCCACGCCAGCCCGTGATGCTCGACCTCCGCCCAAGTTGGCAGTACCTCAAGAGAACGCACGACACGATCCAGATGGACTCCCCTCGCAGTCGGCGGACGGGCTATAAGACGCGTTCACGCTGCTCGGCGAGGGCGTACTCGACCACACGGAGGCGGCGGGCGTTGCGCTGATGTACGCGGACCTGCGCGTATGCCTGTCGCGCGCGAACGCTTCCCCCTCCTCGACGACTCCCGGATGTCGCCCGTCACCTTCACCGCCGACGACACGAAGACGCTCCGACGCTCGTCGACGTCGATCCTGATACGCGTCTACCGTCCCGCACGCCGGTGGACGGTCCTGAGCGACGGGGGCGGCACAGCTCGCCGCGCGTGTCACAAATGCCAGCAGGCGCGCCCTGCCGCGAGGTTCCGGGGCGACGAAGCGGGTGGGTGGAGCGCTACGAACTGCAGGTACGCATGCTCTGTTTTCTCGCCCTGCGGTCACTGACGCCGTGCGATCTCTTTCTCCCGACAGCCTCCGGGCGTGTGCCGGGTATGGACACGGGCGTCGACGTCGACGTGAAGCCCGCGACCTTGACCGATCCCGCTCTGGCCCACCTCCGGCTTGGGGCACCAGAGCGCAGCGTAGACGGAATGCACCACGACGATAGCGAACGCGCGGTGCAGCCATGTGCCGTGCCGCTGCTCGTGCGCGCCGGGCGGTCCCCGGTACCGACACGGTCGCGGACAGGCCTGCTGGCCTGCGCGTCGGGAGGAGTGGGGCGTAGACTCGTCGTAGTTTGTAGTTGGCACAAGATAGCTCGCGGCCGTGCAAGTCGGCGGTGCATATATGCATGCGGTGCTGTACAGTAGTACTGTGCAATGCTATGGTGTTGAGCGCGCGAACCTCCACGGGTTCCCGAGGGTCCACCGTGTGTGTGTGTGCACAGGTTGGATGACCCGCGCCCGTACCCGAGGCACCTGCCCCCGTGGTGATCCCTACCGGGTACAGGCTACATATGTATGATCCTCGGTCGCCCCACCCTCTCCTTCTGCGCACGCGTCGGCCTTCAGCACAACTGGGACTAGACCGTGCATCGCTTCTGACGAAGGCCAAAGCACGTCCAAATATTGTACTCCCGCGAGCATCTGGGAGAACGTCCGCACATGTACTTATGCGTATGTGCATTCGATAGCGTACGACAAGACGGAACACCGAAAGCATCTGCACGAAAGCACGACAACAATGTGCACATACAGCACTTTTTGGCGTCGCCGATGCGACTACTCCATGCCCTCCACCTACGCGACAGATATCGACAGCTCCGTCCCCAGCCGCTTCGACCCCCCTTCAGAGTCCTCCTGCTCCCGCGTCTGCGTCTGCGGTAGCATCGACGCCGCTTCTCCATCTCCTTCATCGTCACTCTCCTCAGGCAGTGACTTGCGCTTCTCCGCCGCCTTCCGGACGGGTGTGTCGTCTTTGAGCGTTCCGTTTTCTCGCGCTGGGGTAGCCTCCTTCATCGCGTGAGGCTCGGGCTCCTCCACCGGCCCCCGCCCAGAGCCCCCACCGCCCGTCCATGTATGTCCTGCGACGGTCCCGGGAACTCCTCTCCCGCCCGCCGCGCCCGCGACAGCACCTCCAACCGCCGCTGGAGCCTGCCGCGCCGGCTCCCCTCGCTCGCGGCGGACCGCGCGCTCGACAGCGCGTGGCCGTCCCTGACCCCGTCGTTGGTGTGGGAGTCGCGCACCGGGATCACCGCGCGCTCCGGCGAGGGCGGGTGCACGGCGAGGATGAGGCTCAGGCCGTCGAGGGACATGCACGGGCGCGCCGCGGCCCGCTCGCCGTCCATGCGGAGCAGCGACGCCGTCCCGGGAGGCCTTCGCAGGCCCATCGGCCAGGCAGCGGGCGGCGAGGTGTGTGCGGGCTCCGCCACGCGCGCGCCGTCCACGATGGAGGGGGCGGAGGGGAGGGCCTGGAGCGATGCGGTGTGGAGCACGGGCGGGGTCGCGGGGAGCGGCTGGGGCGCGCCTTCGAGCTCCGCATAGGTCGCGAGCCAAGGGTGGTTCAGCACGAGCGACTTGCGCTCGCTCGGGGAAGACGCGAGGAGCGCGCGGATGAACCGCTCGGCTATGTGTGCGGGGCCCAGGTCAGCTCGCGTGGAGAGGAAGAGAGAGCGGACACGCACCCTGCTCGCTGACGTCCCACTCGTACAGAAACATCCACTGCACCTGGCGGGTAATGGTGATGATGTGCTCGGTAGGTCTGCGTCGGACGGGGTGCCCTGCATGTGCCTGAGGATAGGGACTGACCAGCGCGCGCGGCCGGCGTTGGGTCGATCGCGGCGCTCGGACAGACGCACACGGCAAAGACTATCACGGCCAGCTGTTGACCACATTCGAGTACCCTTCCTGTATGGGGAACGTGTCGTAAACGGCCACTTCCAGCGCGAGGTTCCGCAGAACGTCTGGACGCGTGTTAGCGACGAGCATCCTTGGCTCGCGATAAATGCTCACCTTGGGGATTGTCTGGGAACCCATCGTCTTCGCCAGCGGGTACTGGTCCTTCAGGACAATCTTCTCGGGCTTCAGGTCGCGGTGAATGATCCCTTGATCGTGCACGCGCTGCAGACAGTGGCCAGGGAGCGGTGAGGCAGTGAGAACAGATGTGCTCACGGAAAGAACGCCGCAGATCTGGTAGGTGATCCGCTGCATCTCGGCCCCTGTGCGATGACAGGGAGCGCATATACCACGGCAAAAACTGAGGCGGAGGCGCACGCAGCCCGCGGTCTGCGTTGGTGACACACTCGAGAAAGTCTCCACTGGAGAGACGAGGCCTGCATACTCAGATCGTCAGAGCTGATCGGGAAGGCATCGTCAGCGAGCGGTGCAGTGCGGCGCGGCGAGATCACATACTCGTGAACATCCCATTCATTGAGAAGTCGGCGACATTTACCACGGCCTGCGCAGAGTGGTCCCCGTCTCACTCGATCGAGCAGCGCGTGCCGCCTGCGGGCGGCGGCGTCAGTCAGCCGGGCAGGCGCAGACGCACCGACGGCCCGCGAGGCATGGCCGAGCACAACATAATTGAGATGGTGTGTGCTGCGCCTCGAAGAGGTAGCGGCGTTGCAGGGAGTGAGAGCACGCCCTACAGCTTGCCATCGTCGGCCGGATGTGAGGCCTTGAGGCCTTGAGGTCTGGGACACGAGCCGGGACGCCGCCTGCATGTCTCGAGGCGCTATCTGCTCCATCGTGGGTGGGTGGGTACCTATCCTGGACGAGATCAGCGAGAGGCGAGCAGCGGGAGGGGCGACGATGACGTCACCGTGACACGACTCAACGCACCATTCTTAGCGCAGGGGACGGATTTGGACGAAGCGGCGGTGACCAGGCGAGCACCAACGCACATTTTGAACATGCGGAGTGCTTGGTTGACACTGGACGGGGGTACAGATAAGGGGAGGAGAGACGGGAGAGAGCGTGCTTAGTAATGGACGCGCGGAGAGAGAGAGAGCTAGAGCGCTCGAGCTCGACAGTCGGGGCCGCGTTGGTCTGGCGTCTAACCGTTTTCATTCGTGTCTACAACTGGTCACAAGTATGCCCGCTATCCCTCTCTTCGCGCGCCGCACGGAAGCACCCACCTGAAGAATTTGCACGTCTCTTTGCCGCGGTATCAGCAGCCGGTAAGCCCGCTCATCCTTTTGTGTCACTGAACGTTGTATCGTCGCAGAGCGCTCGTTAGCCTGCATTAGGGTCATGGTTGTGAAGTATGTACTATACGATAATGGTCGCGCCGAGTTTTAGCTCTGCGGGGAAGAGATCTAGGATGAGGCGGCCACGACGAGTGTGTCGTGCGCGGCGTGGTGCGGCGCGGCACGGCACGCGGGCGAGTCGAGCGGGCCGGAGAAGCAGGCCGAGGCGGCGTCCTTGGCCTGGAACGCGAGCTCGCGCTACTCGAGGGGCATCCTATCCCAGGATACACCATGGAGCGCGAGCAGGTGACCTGAAGCCTCGCTTTCCGACGAAAACCTTCCGCGGGAGGGCGTCCTCCCCCGACAAGGATTGTCCTGACCGGAGGTAAGCGTTATGCAAACGTACACTGACTATGCAACTCATCGCAGTCCATCCGCCACTTGTCCACTCCGATGTTTGCGCGACACATGCACGCAAGGGTGCCCGTTGGGCGGCGACAGCTTCTCCCAGACCTATCCCTCACGCAGATCGACGCGGCTTCGGAGACTCTCACTCGGGGCGCACGCGCGCACCATAGCCGTACGTACCTCTCGTATCGCCACGCGTGATGCATTATTCTGGTCCGCAGACTTTGTTTTCTCCTAGCGCGATGGACTGAATTGATGTTGATATCAGCAGAAGCAACTCCAAGACAAAATCAAACACGCACTTTCCAGCGGAACACGAGCAACCACGACGCTCTGGCGGCAAGCGTGACCACGGATGCGTTGCCATTGTCAATCGCACTGTAGGATCGTCAGAGAACGAAAAGCATATCATAAAACGTACCAGTATCCGCGTGCCAGTGCAGGTGGGTGGATTACGCCTCGTTCTGGCGGGGACAATAATTGTTGATTACTGATTAGTGCGACTCGTGGACAGGATCAACACGCACCCTAGTGCCTCGGATTCTCCGAGAGGAGGGCCGGTGAAGGCAGCGGCGGAGGAGGAGCGGACGACAGCGGGAGAGCGGCATCCGACGCCTTTTATGCACAGTGACAGCTCCCGGTGGGCAACACCAGCCGCGGCTAGCCAATATTACCCTCCAGGGCGGTCTCAAAGCTCCGATGGTGCAGGCACCAACGCGTTCATGGCGCAGGCCTTCTCCAGGTACGCAATCCACCTTCTCGTTCAAAGTTAATCTCACGTTAGTGACGATTAGCTGTGCAATCTCAGTTCCAACCTTCTGCTACGTAGCGGTAACACGCCGGGACTACGGCGGCGACCAATGATCCTCGTCACCCTATATACGGACGCTCGACGCATCCCTCCACAACGGGCGCCCCACCTCCTCATCGTCCTCCGACGTGATCTCGCGCTGCGACTTGGTCACCATACAAGACGTCCACCGGTCCCACATCCCAAACTCGACGACGTACACCTGGGTCCCGCCGCTCTCCCTCGTCCGACCGCGATCCCCGCGCCACAACAAACGGCGTTGGCGCCGCAAGTTTGCAGTTCGCCCTCGCCGCCTCCGCTTCCTCGACACTCACGCGCTCGAAGCGCATGTCGACGCGGTCCCACGGCCGGTGGAGGCCGACGAGCTCGCTCAAGCTCGTCGCATTGTCGCTCAGGTTGCCGAACTTGGTACCGTGCAGCCGGCCGACGATGCGCAGCCGGTGCTCGACGAGGGTGCAGTGCTTCGCGAGCTGCTCCAACGTCCGGCGCATCTCGGTCGTCGGGTCGTCGGTGAGGTGTGCTGCGCGGTGCGTACCGTCGGTGCGTGCCAAGTGCGCGCACGAAGAGAATGTTGCTCACCTAATTCCCCCTCGATCTTCTTGCGCAGATGTACCCGGACCCGCTCCGTTTGTCGTGTGTATCCGATGGCGGGGTCAAGCGTTCGGACGGCAGCCCGAGCTTGAAGTACCTACACCTCATCTGCAAGACCCTCGGTACCAGGAGTCTTTGAGACGACGCCCTCGCGCGTACACGTCTGACTGGTACAACCATTTTCCGCAGGCAGTCGTGGCGTTTCCTCCAGCCGCACTCGCGCCCGAGAGCGTTGCACATAAATATATTGTGTCAGAGGAACTCCAGACACCGTATTGTAACGTCTCCACTGTGTCATTGGGCGGCGACGCGCATGGTGGGCCGCCCGGATTTCAACGCCATGCGAGTCGTGCGGCGGCAAGGGACATGTGGTGTGGTGTTAGCGCGATGCGAACTCCGGCGCGAAACCACTCACTGTGCACGTAGGCAAGACCGGCTTGCGTCGAATGATGACCGGAATTAAATTCCGTGTTCAGGCCGATTTTGAGAATCGCCCACATGGCCGCGGTGTGCTGGGTGATATTGCGAGGCGCAGCCGATACCATCAGTTGGGCGCCACAGCGCGTTGAGTGACAGATGAGGAGTGGTCCTCGAGTCGAACGAGCAAGGTCGGCATGGCGAACGCGGGTGGTACCATCAATTGGGCGCGTCCTCCGCGCTATACGGTACGTAGGTTCCGAGTCCGTAAGTACCGTGCTCACCGTGGTACCTGCAGGGAAGCGTCAGCGAGGTTTTACAGGTCCCCAGAGGTGATCCAGAGCACGCACTGTTGATCACGCCAAAGCGGGACTCATGGCACAGTAAGTGCCCGTGGTGCAGGGCTCGCGATCTTCAGCCCGTTGCCCACGATGCCCCTCCCCGTACGCCTTCAGAATACTCTCACAGACACCATCCCAGTCGACGTGCCAATCGACGAGCCCTCCGCAACGGAAACGCAGGCGTGTAGCGAGGGTCTAGGTACGTGGTGTGAGTGTATGAACTCAGTAGTGTGCAGAGATACATACCTCAGTAGGCCGCGGGCGCGGCCGGACAAACAGAACAACTGCGGTGCGAGGGACTGCAGCCGAGCGTTAGCAGCGGCGGAGGATGCCGAGGTACTGTATAGTACCTATATGCGGAAGGCGTCGAATGAGACACCATGTGTCGTAATGTAGATGGTCAGGCCCGACGGGCGATAGACCGCGCGCGTTTTTGGTGTGGACGAGGACGAAGATGATTGTGCCGAGGAGGGCGACGATGGGCGATGGGCGACGTCGGCGACAAAGTCCGGTCGAGGGGGTTGAACGCCTACCTCGCCGCGGTGACATTCGAAGCTGTCTGGATAGGCCGGTCGAAGCAAACGACTTCTCGGCCGGCGGACGTGGTTTGTGCAAAGCCGGCGAGGTCAAGGTACGCGCGGGCGGGCATGTTCCTTCGTGAGTGAGCAGGGTTAGTGGACGGCAGTTTTCGTCATGACAATGGCGAGCACTCACAGGGCGTGAACGATGGGGAGGATATTGCAGGAACGTGCGGGAACGAGCACGGCATGCAAATGCTGCGTCTCCGCCCGCCAAGACCCGCGGGCGACATGCGCTGACACATGCGCGTGCGACGGGAACACCTTTGACGACTCTATGCACTGGTGCGTCGGCGGCGGCGGCGGCGGCAGCGTCACCCGCGTTGGCTGGGGCTGTTGCAGCTCCAGGTACGGCTCTGCGTCGGGCGGCAGCTCCCTTCCGTGCTGGAGCGAGCTTGGGTTTGGTGGTGCGACGACGTGTGGTACTAACCCGCAGGCAGGGCCGGTGGGGCTGCGAACGACCCCGGCCGGTTCCCGTGTGCGAATGGCCCTGCAGAGCATACGAAAACGCGTGACGTTGTTCCGGGCGGGTTTTCGGGAGCTGCATCGCCAGGTGCCTGCTGTTCCGCAGACCGAGGCTCTCGCGGCGTGGACGGCGCTAGAAGAGGTCCGCGTGTCGCTCGACGACGCGTACTGGCAGCTGCGCATGCGCACGAGGCGGCTCGTCCTGTGTGTGCCGGGCTGCACGACGCGGGGGAGGTCCGCATGCGGCTGCGGCACCCCTCGCGGACACGTCGCCGGCAGTGCTGGGGCTCGTGGTGGACAGGGAGCGCCGCTGGCGCTCCCGAAGGCGTTTGCGGAGGAGGGGTGCCGGGAGTGCGTCAGGGAGCTTTCGCCCAAGCTGGAAATTGACGGGACGCTCGAGCGGGTGGTGTGCGACGTGGTGGTGGGTGGCTTTGGCCATTAAGTCGAAGAGCCTGACGTGATACATCGTATCAGTGGCCGCTGGTGAAAGCTGGCGTTGTCGGACAAGAAGAGGCCCTGTGAGGAAGTCTCGGCACCGTCGTCGTGAGCGCAGGGAGCGTCCGGTCGTAGGCCTGAGTGAGACTGAGTGCGCTGGCACCGACTGCGAGCAGGCCGGGTGCACGTACCCTGCAGAAGCGAGCGAGTTGGAGCTATAAAGGAACGGCAGGGTTCCGATCGGGAGGGCGGTGAGAATGTTGTGCGTCGCGTTCTGCGGGAGCGAATGGTCCCTCTCGAGCGCGAGTGTATGTTGCACATTCTCTGTTTGCACGAGATGTGAGCGTGGGATCTTGGTGGGTGTACGTTGGGCACCTACTTCGGGCAGGGTCACATTCAACTAAGACCGGGCACCCTGGCGTGTTCAGGGATACGTAGGCGAGACCAAGGTACGGATGATTGACCGGCGACGGCGCCGTCTGGCGCGTTTTTGTGCGAACGCCACCGATGGCAGGACATGGGTGGCGCGGAGGACGGACGTCGGCACGGCACCGACGAAGGGTTGCGGGCGGTGTGAGAGTGGAAGGGGGAAGTCTTGGCTGGGAGAAGAGCTTGGAGGACGAGAGGTAGATGAGCACGTACGAGTGGTCGGTCGCAAGCACGCTCCGACCTGCATCGGCCACCGCCCGCTCCGGGCCAGGTGACAACGACGGGCATTGGGGGTAGCGGTACACGTCTAGTTTGTTTGCACACGCTCACTGATGGGTTCTGGGATGATGTCTGGCGGCGGGGAGTGCGTCGAGGGTGTGGGGACCGGCGTCGGACGACTGATCTGTGCACGTTCGTTGAGAGAGAAGAGCGAAGGGCGGAGAGCAAAGGGAAAGCACCCGAGTACTCACGGACGTGACAGCCAAAGAGGCATGTGGGAGCGGAGCATGGAGGCCTTGAGCTTGAGGCCTGAGGGTGGATGGTCGACAGGTCGAAAGTGCCAGGCGTCGGGACACTGGGGATGGCGGCCCGCAGGTTGTCTCGACCGAGGTACGCCCTGGGACGCGACGGCGTGCAGAGGCGAGTGTGTTGGGCGAGGTCTTGACGCGTCGAGGGGCGGCGCGGTGCGCCAAGGCTGATCAGCAAGCGCCAAGCGCAGGGCGAAAGAGCGTCACCGCAGGCGCTCGATTGCGTCATGCACGCGAGGAGGACGACTCCGACGCGTCGAGCGAGCTCACCTTCCCCGCCCTCTATATACATACACCGCCTCGCGCTCTCTCAACCCGTCTCGTACTTGCAAGCGTCTGGGCTTCGAGAAGAACACCGAGTCCCGCCTCCTGTGTTCCAGCTCTCCGTAATCAAGGTCCGTGCCTCTTCCTTTGCAACCGACGATGTCTAACGTGAACCCGACAGGACGCAGTCGCCGTGCATCCGGCACAGTTTGTCTACCTCCAGAACAAGCTATCACCAATCAGCTGAACGAGGTTCACGCGAGACGCGTCTTGCACGGCGTTGGCCTGTACATATGCGTCTTCGACCTCGCGGCCCGGGTAGCGGAGGGCAAGGTGCGGTACGGCGATGGATGGATGTGGTACCAAGATCGGTGAGTCTGTCTCGCACTGTGTGGAGCTACGACTACCTTCTCTGCGTCTTCCGTCCCTTCGGAACCGAGGCCATCCTCGCCAAGATCAAGTCCTCGGATGAGGACGGTGTCCGACGTCCGTCTATTCCGCCTTGTTCTCGCGCCCTTAAGCTCATTCACGCCCAGTCACTGTCGCATCTTTGACGACATCTACGTTCCCCTTGTCTGCCTTCCGGAACCTTGCGCCTCGTACGTGCTCCTCTCTCTGTCCTGTCTTCCCCGAAAACCCTTGCTTGTCACCCAGTGACCCGAAAGAGCGACCACATTTCTGGCTGCCGGGATCGGAAACAACCTCGTCTCACGAGCCCCTCGGCTCACCCCTGGCGGACCGGATATACATCGACGCCGGCTATGTCCTCCGGGTGCGCGTCGAGGCAGACGGGTTCCATGACGATGAGCCTGGACCGCCGGAGGCGCATGAGGGCATTCAACGGGCTCATGAAGTGCGCCGTTCCCCGTACACCACCACCGTGAGTGCCTTTGCTGCTTCCCCTTGTCGACGGAAAACTGCTTATGTCCGGTTCTGGTTCCAGTGCCCGATGTCCGAACAGCGATTTGACCAGTGGAGGAACGCTGGCGTTGAAACAACGGACGATGGCTGACATGTAATCAGACCGGACCGCGTACTTGTTGTTTGCTCGTATCCTTCGATGACGTATTTTAATCTCGTTCACTTCAACCAGGACCAGCATTTCTAACTTGAGAGGAAGCGGAGCTGGAGGATTATATTTCGCGTCTGATTGCCATCACAAGCCATTCCGTTGAATAAATTCTCTGTTCTCGCCATACAGACATGCGCGAAAGAATGAAGCCCGGGACCAGTCGCCTCACGTCCTCAAGTAGTCCTGCGCACGAAACGCCATCGCTTCAACAGTGCGCGCGGTATACCCGTGGGTACGGTCGGCAAAGTGGCAGGAACCGCGTCGGGCGCCACGGACATTTCGTGTGGAGTAGCAGCGGCGTCCACCTCCACGGGGGAATCCGCAGGGCTGTGAGACGGGGTCAGCGTCAGGAATCGCACAGTTGAAGGACGGATACGAGCTCGGGTTCCGGTTCCGCAGCTTGGTCGTTCTGTTTCTCTGATTGAGGACCTGCCGCAGAAGACGACGCGGCCGGTGGAGGGGCCCGGCACGGCGGGACCTTCGACGTGAGATCGAGGAGGCGATCTTTGCACATGCCCACCCAACCACCCTGCGGCTCCATGTGACGCCAATCCTCCGTTCCAATGAGCTGTATGAACACACGCTCGAGCGCTGCAACGAGGGATGGTGTGACCAGACAGCGAATGCCGTCTGAGGAATCGGAGTGGAATCGGAGCATGTCGTACAAGATCCACCGGAACCAGCCGCAGGCATCCTCTGGTGATACAGGCAGCGACCAGTCAATCGTGTTGAGGAACGTTTCGAAGGAGGAGAACGCGTGCGCGACGAACGGCTGGATCGTAGCGATGCCGTCGCACTCGCGGATCCTGGGCGCCGAGTACTCGACGAGTTCCCGGATGGGGTCGATATGCCCCCACATGAACTTGAACTCCTCGGTGAGGACGCCTTGAGAAGGCGGGTCTGCGCGTCGGAGGCAACGATCGCTGACGAGCATTTGGATCCGGTGAGCTGCCGCGAAAGCAGCTGTGGTCATGGTGAGCGCTCTGAAAAGTTCGACGGGGTTGAAGGTGAAACCGCAGACGCACCGAGTTGCAACGTTCCGGCGTCACGGATATTCTGGAACGCATCGTTTTTCCACAATTTGGCCCATTCTGAGTCTGCTTTTGCGGGTTCAGCAGCTCTGTGGAGGCTGATGAGTATTTGGGCCCTGGTCGCTGCGTCGGGCGCCGTGGACATTTCGTGTGGAGTGGCAGCAGCGTCCACCGCCACGGAGGAATCCGCAGGCCTGTGAGACAGGGTCAGCGTCGGGAATCGCACAAATGAAGGGTGGATCATACGAACTCGCGTTTCGCAGCTTGGTTGCTGTGGTCCCCTGATTGAGGATCTCCAGTGGAAGGTAGCGCGTCGGGCGGAGAGCACGGCGGGACCTTCGATCTAAGATCGAGGAGGAGATCTTGGCACCTGCGCACAGGCGTGAAACCGTGCGCCTCCACTCGACTCCAGTCGTCCGTTCCAACGATCTGTGTGAACGCGTGCTCCATCGCTGCAACGAGCGACGGTGTGACGAGACGGCGGATACCGTCTGAGGGATGGGAGTGTAATTCGAGTATGTTGTTCAGGATATAGAAGAAGTGGGAGCACGCGTTGTCCGGTGATACGGGCAACGACGAGTCAACTTTCGTGTTGAGGAGTGTTTCGAAGGAGGAGAGCGCGTGCGCGATGATCGGCTGGATCACAGCGATGCCGTCGCACTTGCGGATCCTGGGCACCGAGTACTTGACGAGTTCCCAGATGGAGTCGATATTCTTGTACATGAACTCGAACTCCTCGGTGAGCACGCCTTGAGAAAGCAGATCTGTGTGTCGGAGAACACGGTCGCTGAGGAGTGTTTGCATCCGGTGGGCTACTGTGAAGGCAGCTGCGGTCACGGTGAGCGCTCTGACTTGGACGGCGTCGAAGGTGGAGTCGTAGACGCACCGAGGTGCAACGTTCCGGCGTCACTGATCTTCTGGAACACATCGTTTTCCCACAGTTTGTCCCATTCTGACTCTGCGCTCGCGGGTTCGACCGTTCTTAGTATACTGACGAGCAGTCGGGTCCCGGTCGCTGCGTCGGGCGCCGTGGACATTTCGTGTGGAGTGGCAGCAGCGTCCACCGCCACGGAGGAATCCGCAGGCCTGTGAGACAGGGTCAGCGTCGGGAATCGCACAAATGAAGGGTGGATACGAGCTCGGGGTCCGTAGCTTGGTCTTTCTGTTTCTCCGATTGAGGACCTGCGGCGGAAGACGACGGCTCCGGTGGAGGGGTCCGGCACGGCGGGACCTTCGACGTGAGATCGAGGAGGTGATTTTTGCACTCGCCCACCCAAATTCTCCGCGGGTCCATGCGACGCCAGTCCTCCGTTCCAACGAGCTGTCTGAACGCGTGCTCGATCGCCGCAACGAGCGACGGTGTGACCAGACCGCGGATGCCGTCTGAGGAATGGGAGTGGAATTTGAGTGTGTCGCGCAGGATATCACAGAACCAGTAGCAGACGTCGTTCGGTGATACAGGCAGCGACCAGTCAATCATGTTGAGGAGCGTTTCGAAGGAGGAGAACACGTGCGCGACGAACGGCTGGATCGCAGCGATGCCGTCGCACTCGCGGATCCTGGGCGCCGAGTCCTCGACGAGTTCCCGGATGGGGCAGATATGGTTCTGTATGAACTCGAACTCCCGGGTGAGGACGTCTTGAGAATGCAGGTCTGCGCGTCGGAGGCCACGGTCGCTGACGAGCGTTTGCATCCGGTGCGCTGCCGCGAAGGCAGCTGCGGTCATGGTGAGCGCTTAATGGGGTTGCACGTGAAGTCGTAGACTCACCGAGTTGCAACATTCTGATGTCACGGATCTCCAGGAACGTGTTGAGCCGCAGCTTGTTCCATTCTGAGTCTGTGCGCGCAGGTTCAGCCATTCCTTGCATACTGAGGAAGAGCAGTTGAGTCCCAGTCTCGATATACTCGGATGAAGCGGGTGTGCTCGCCGGGGGGCTAGCGTCCTTGCAGGCTCCTCCACGAGTCTTGAGCGTTTCAACAAAGAATCCGCCGTACGCGTGCAAGACGGGGATCGTAAACATCTTCACCATAAAGTCTGGCCATTGGCGCCAAGGCCCGTAGCGGTCCGAGAGGCGTTTGAAGGTCCATTCCCGATACGATCTGGCAACCTGTGGGTCACCGGATAGGCACATCGCAGCCGTGTGTGCCATGCCTGTGTTTTGAGAGCTGATCAACGCCCAGTGGACCGCCTGTGCGTCGAGATCGGGTGCGCTTCGTGAGACAATGGCCTCTTCGTCGTCTTTCCACACAGCGTTGGGCTCTGGAAACCTCAACGAGGATGAAAAGTTGCTGAAGGCCCGTCTGCGCCCCACGGTGGCAGGTTCAAGGTGGCCCCAATCGCTCTGGTAGAGGGTCTCAGAAAACGAGCGGAGGGCACGGATTATTGACCTATAAAGGAGCGAGTAGAAACTGAGAAAGACACTCCAGAGAGAATGGAAGGCCCTGGATTGAGGCGAGAAGTAACACATCGAGGGATAGATCGAGGGGACGATGGTTGTGACGATGATGAAAAGCAGGAGCATCCCAACGAACACCGCAGTGGCGGAGAAGACGTGGACGTTGGAGTGGAAGAGGAGGACGAGGAGGCCGGCGAAGAACAGAATGACGGCAACGATAAGGAGAAGTGGCACAAGCGAGATGATAGCAGGGATGTGCGCTTTATTGAGGTTCGAGAGCCGGTAGATGCGACGTCGTGTGATTGGTGCAGAGAACCCGTACAGCCCGGTGTTGTACTCTTTGAGCCATTGCTTCACCATGATCCCGATCGTCGCTGACGACACGCTGAAAGTAAGACTGGTGAACCAGAGCGCATTCACCCAAATGGCCCAGGTGTCGGGACGAAAGGGGGTCTGCACGATGTCCCCGAACGCCAAGGCGGTGGAGTTGACGAATGAGGGATTGAGCGCAAAGCTTTTGAGCTGGGCAGAGATCTGAGTGAGGATCGCGTTGGTTTGATCGCTTGGTTGAGGCTGGAGCATTGCGAATGCAATGGTGTTGAACGCGGTGAGAGCTGCGGAGAACAAACCGTCCTGAGTGATTGTGGGTGAGGGTCACTGCAGAGGCACGAAGGCCGAAACATACAAAGGTCAAGAGGCCGTCGATCTCCTTGTTCCACTGGTCGACGAGCTCGTCGCTGTACTTCTCCACCGTCTTCCTAGTCTCGTCCCATGCCACCTCGACCTCCGTCTGCTCGTATTTCTTAGTAGATGTTGGTGGGACCTACCATTCAGGACGTTCAGCATATCTGAATGCGACCGAGTGAAATGCGGGACGTACCTTCACATTGTCGTGTACACCCGGCAGTTCTTTATCTCCTGCTGCTAGCGATGGCTCGATACGAGTCTGCGCACCCCATGAATCTCCAGTATCTGGCAGAAAGTGAACGATATACTCACGGGTTCAATCCCACCAACGTTCCGTTCCGTTCCAATGCCCTCTTCTGCCGCTTGTGGGCGCTGATCAATGGTGAGCATACGAGAGGGACGTGGAAACGATCACACGATACCTTCTTGAATTCGTCAAGAATCTCCTTCAGCAGGACACAGACTTTGTCAAGGGACACGTTCGCCTGATCGAACTGTGTGAGCCAATGTTAGGCTCCGAAAAGAGAAAAACAGGCATACTGGCGGCGTCACGGAGGAGGGTGTATTGTCAGGGAGACGAGCCGTGTCTGAGGTTTGTTGAATGGACAAATGCGCCGAGGTCTGAGTGTGAGTGTATCAGCCGGTCGTTCGCGTCATTGGGTGATTCAAGTCTGTGCGTACCGGAGCGCGGGGTGAAGCCTTGGCAGAGACGGTTGGCGAGGGCGGCATATTGAAGCGACTGCGATGGAGTTTTCCCTGAGCACCGGATCTCACGAGATGGGATGTGGGAGTGGATGTGGGTGGGGAGCAGGATGGGGAGTGAGCGGTAGGTGAGCTGAAGCGTACCCATGTTCGTAGACGCATGCGCTGACCGCGCAAACTCCGCCTGGCAGTTCCGCGGTCGGACGAAGGAGAGGGCTACGGTCGACGTTGGGCTCATGCTCGTGCACCACACTCGCCAAACGTTGGCGTGCGGGATGGCCTGGCACGTCCGTCTTCGCGTTCGACGCCGCAGAGTTCTACCCCTCGGTCACCCACACGATGCTCGCGAGCACAACCTGCAGCGCCAGAGATAAGCGCCAGGGAGATGTGCATGGAATTGGGCGGCAAGGGGGAATGCGAGCGGCACCTGCGCACCATTTTCCTCTCCTTCTCTCTCTCTCTCGTTTCACGCTTCGCACCCCGTTTAGGCGTCCGGCGGCACTTGGTGCCAGCCATCTCCTTCACCCACCCTCCTGGCGGCGCCCACGACATGCACAACATGCGAGGACATCCTTAAGCTCGCCCATCCGCCTCCCCCGCTTCGCGCCCTCCGCCGCGCGCCTCGTCTCGGCCGAGCACCCAATAGCGGGTGCCCGGTGCCCGGTGCCGCACTCCCCTCCTGCTTCGCCCGCCTGGCCTGCCTCCCTGCAGGACACCTGCGGCGTGTGGGGGGCGTGCACCCGGGCGTCCTCCACTCGAAGATGAGATCATGTTGGGGTCGCGATGAATTACGGCGACCCCTGGCTCGGTGCGTACACCCCGTCTTGTGCTCTCCACCTCTGCTTGACCCCCGTCCACCTTGCTCTCCTCCGCTCTTGTGCGGGCCCTGTTCGCTCGCGCAGGCACGTCCTACTCGGCATGGCGTCCCCATCACCCCGCTGCCAGTCTTGTCCCCACCCTCCGCCTTGCCCTCCTTTGCCTCGCCGTTCTCCTCTCGCGCGCGTTCCGCTCGTCCATGCGAACCCGACCTCGCCGCCCTCTGCGCGCTCGTTCAACTCGCCGGCGCGCAGCACCACGTCCCCACCAACATCGTCGGCAAGGTTCTCAGGGAATCGGTGGTCATCGCGGAGGTCGAGCGCAAGCACCTTGGCGGTTTCGAGTGAGTTCTGAGACCTTTAGCAGACGTTGCTGTACTCACCCAGAGACCACCCTCGCGACATCTTACGCCCTACACACCAGCAACGGCATCTCTTGCCTGCTGAAAGCTGCACCTTGAATGGTGACCGCAGCGACCACAAGCCATTCGCCGAACTCCCTCACGAGCGTATGACACAAGCTTCTCAAGACTTCGACACCTCTGGTCGGACCATCGCTCCCTACCTCTATCTGCCCCTTGCACACCCCAAAGGCGTGCGGCTCACCCTCGCGCGCATCTCCGGCAAGTTCTCTCCACGTCAGCTCGTGATGCTCGACCTCCGTCTGGATTGGCAGTATCTCAGGTGAATGCTCGCCACAATCCAGATGGACTGCCTCGAACTCCCCTCACAGTCGGCGGACAGGCTATACAGCTGGCAAGAGACGTTCACGCTGCTCGTCGAGGGCGTACTCGACCACACGGAGGTGGCGGGCGTTGGGCTGATGTACGTGGACCTGCGCGCGCGATCGCTTCGTCCTCCTCGACAAATCCCGTCGCTCGTCACCTTCACTCGCTCCGATGCTCGTCGACTTCGATTCCGATACGCGTCTAGCGTCCCGCACGCCGGTGGACGGTCCTCAGCGACGGGGGCGGCACACCTCGCCGCGCGTGTAACAAACGCCAGCAGGCACGCCCTGCCGCGAGGTTCTGGGGCGATGAAGCGGGTGGGTGGAGCGCTACGAACTGCAAGTCCGCATGCTCCATTTTCTCGCCCTGCGGTCACTGACGCCGTGCGATCTCTTTCTCCCGACAGCCTCCGAGCGTGTGCCGGGTATGGACACGAGCGTCGACGTCGACGTGAGGCCCGCAACCTTGACAGACCCCGCTCTGGTCCACCTCCAGCTTGGGGCACCAGAGCGCAGCGTAGACGGAATGCACCACGACGATAGCGAACGCGCGGTGCAGCCATGTGCCGTGCCGCTGCTCGTGCGCGCCGGGCGGTCCCCGGTACCGACACGGTCGCGGACTGGCCTGCTGGCCTCCGCGTCGGGAGGAGTGGGGCGTAGACTCGTCGGAGTTTGTAGTTGGCACAAGATAGCTCGCGGCCGTGCAAGTCGGCGGTGCATATATACATGCGGTGCTGTACAGTAGTACTGTGTAATGTCATAGTGTTGAGCGCACGAACCTCCACGTGTTACCGAGAGTCCACCTTTTGTGTGCACGGGTCGGATGACCCGCACCCGTACCCGTGGTGGTGCCCACGGAGTACAGGCCATGTATGATCCTCGTTCGCTCCACCCTCTTCTTCTGCGCACGCGTCGGCCTTCAGAACAAACACTGGGACTAGTCCGTGCATCGCTTCTGACGAAGGCTGAAGCACGTCCAAATATTGTACTCCCGCGAGCATCTGGGAGAACGTCCGCACATGACAAGACGGAACACCGAAAGCATCTGCACGAAAGCACGACAACAATGTGCACATACAGCACTTTTTGGCGTCGCCGATGCGACTACTCCATGCCCTCCACCTACGCGACAGATATCGACAGCTCCGTCCCCAACCGCTTCGCCACATGCGGTGACCCCCCTTCAGAGTCCTCCTACTCCCGCGTCTGCGTCTGCGGCAGCAGCGACGCCGCTCCTCCATCTCCTTCATCGTCACTCTCCTCAGGCAGTGACTTGCGCTTCGCCGCTTTGAGCATCGGCGACGCCGCCGCCTTCCCGACGGGTGTGTCGTTTGTGAGCGTTCCGTTTTCTCGCGCTGGGGTAGCCTCCTTCATCGCGTGAGGCTCGGGCTCCTCCACCGGCCCCCGCCCAGAACCTCCACCACCCGCCCACGCATGTCCTGCGACGGCCCCGGGAACTCCTCTCCCGCCCGCCGCGCCCGCGACAGCACCTCCAACCGCCGCTGGAGCCTGCCGCGCCGGCTCCCCTCGCTCGCGGCGGACCGCGCGCTCGACAGCGCGTGGCCGTCCTTGACCCCGTCGTCGGCGTGGGCGTCGCGCACCGGGGTCACTGCGCGCTCGGGCGACGATGGGTGCGCGGCGAGGGTGGGGCTCGGGTCGTCCAGGGACGTGCGGTAGCCCGCCGCGGAGCGCGTCGACGCGGCCTGCTTGCCGTCCATGCGGAGAAGCGACGCCGTCCCGGGTAGCCTTCGTATGCCCATCAGCCAGGCAGCGGGCGGCGAGGTGTGTGCGGGCTCCGCGGCGCGCGCGCCGTCCGCGATGGAGGGGGCGGAGGGGAGGGCCTGGAGCGACGCGGTGTGGAGCACGGGCGGGGTCGCGGGGAGCGGCTGGGGCGCGCTTTCGAGCTCCGCATAGGTCGCGAGCCAAGGTTGGTTCAGCACGAGCGACATACGCTCGCTCGAGGAAGACGCGAGGAGCGCGCGGATGGGCTATGTGAGCGGAGCCCAGGTCAGCCCGCGTGGCGAGGAAGAGAGAGCGGACACGCACCCTGCTCGCTGGCGTCCCACTCGTACAGAAGCATCCACTGCACCTGGCGGGTAATGATGATGGTGTGCTCGGTAGGTCTGCGTCGAACGGGGTGCCCTGCGTGAGCCTGAGGATAGGGACTGACCAGCGCGCGGCCGGCGTTGGGTCGATCGCGGCGCTCGGACGGACGCACACGGCAAAGACTATCACGGCCAGCTGTTGACCACATTCGAGTACCCTTCCTGTGTGGGGAACGTGTCGTAAACGGCCACTTCCAGCGCGAGGTTCCGCAGAACGTCTGGACGCGTGTTAGCGACGAGCATCCTTGGATCGCGATAAATGCTCACCTTGAGGATCGTCTGAGAACCCATCGTCTTCGCCAGCCTCCAGTCGGCGGGTACTGGTCCTTCAGGACAATGTTCTCGAGCTTCAGGTCGCGGTGAGGCGGTGGGGAGAGAGGTGCGTACGGAAAGGGCGCGTGATCCGCTGCGTCTCAGCCCCTCTGCGATGACAGGGAGCGCATATACCAAGGCAAAACTGAGGCGGAGGCGCACGCAGCCCGCAGTCCGTGTTGGTGATACCCTCGAGCAAGTCTCCGCCAGAGACGAGGCCTGCATACTCAGATCGTCAGAGCTGATCTAGAGGGCGTCGTCAGCGAGCGGTGCAGTGCGGCGCAGCGAGATCGAATACTCGCGAATCTCCCATTCATTGAGAAGTCCACGACATTTACCGCCGCCTGGGCGGAGTGGTCCCCGTCCCACTCGATCGAGCGTGCCGCCTGCGGGCGGCCCCGTCAGTCAGCCGGGCAGGCGCAGACGCACTGATGGCCCGCGAGGCATTGTCGAACACGACGTCATTGAGACAGTGGGGCTTGCGCCAGAACCGGTAGTGTGCTGTGCCTCGAAGAGGTAGCGGTGTTGCAGGGGATGTATATGATGTCTGGGACACGAGCCGGGACGCCGCCTGCATGTCTCGAGGCGCTATCTGCTCCATCGTGGGTGGGTGGGTACCTATCCTGGACGAGATCAGCGAGAGGCGAGCAGCGGGAGGGGCGACGATGACGTCACCGTGACACGACTCAACGCACCATTCTTAGCGCAGGGGACGGATTTGGACGAAGCGGCGACCAGGCGAGCACCGACGCAAATTTTGAACAAGCAGAGTGCTTGGTTGACACTGGACGGGGGTACGGATAAGGGGAGAGAGAGAGAGAGAGCGTGCTTAGTAGTGGACGCGCGGAGAGACGAGAGAGAGCGCTCGAGCTCGACAGTTGGGGCCGCGTTGGTCTGGCGTCTAACCGTTTTCATTCGTGTTTACAACTGGTCACAAGTATGCCCGCTATCCCTCTCTTCGCGCGCGCGCCGCACGGAAGCACCCTCCTGAACCACATGCACGTCTCTTTGCCGCAGTATCAGCAGCCGGTAAGCCCGCTCATCCTTTTGTGTCACTGAACGTCGTATCGTCGCAGAGCGCTCGTTAGCCCGCATCAGGGTCACGGTTGTGAAGCACGTACCATACGACAATGGTCGCGCCGAGTTTCAGCTCCGCGGGAAGAGCAGGACGAGGCGGCCACGACGAGTGCGTCGTGCGCGGCGTGGCGCGGCGCGGCACGGCACGCGGGCGAGTCGAGCGGGCCGGAGAAGCAGGCCGAGGCGGCGTCCTTGGCCTGGAACGCGAGCTCGCGCTACTCGAGGGGCATCCTATCCCAGGATACATCATGGAGCGCGAGCAGGTGACCTGAAGCCTCGCTTTCCGACGAAAATCTTCCGCGGGAGGGCGTCCTCCCCCGACAAGGATTGTCCTGACCGGAGGTAAGCGTTATGCAAACGTACACTGACTATGCAACTCATCGCAGTCCATCCGCCACTTGTCCACTCCGATGTTTGCGCGACACATGCACGCAAGGGTGCCCGTTGGGCGGCGACAGCTTCTCCCAGACCTATCCCTCACGCAGATCGACGCGGCTTCGGAGACTCTCACTCGGGGCGCACGCGCGCACCATAGCCGTACGTACCTCTCGTATCGCCACGCGTGATGCATTATTCTGGTCCGCAGACTTTGTTTTCTCCTAGCGCGATGGACTGAATTGATGTTGATATCCGCAGAAGCAACTCCAAGACAAAATCAAACACGCACTTTCCAGCGGAACACGAGCAACCACGACGCTCTGGCGGCAAGCGTGACCACGGATGCGTTGCCATTGTCAATCGCACTGTAGGATCGTCAGAGAACGAAAAGCATATCATAAAACGTACCAGTATCCGCGTGCCAGTGCAGGTGGGTGGATTACGCCTCGTTCTGGCGGGGACAATAATTGTTGATTACTGATTAGTGCGACTCGTGGACAGGATCAACACGCACCCTAGTGCCTCGGATTCTCCGAGAGGAGGGCCGGTGAAGGCAGCGGCGGAGGAGGAGCGGACGACAGCGGGAGAGCGGCATCCGACGCCTTTTATGCACAGTGACAGCTCCCGGTGGGCAACACCAGCCGCGGCTAGCCAATATTACCCTCCAGGGCGGTCTCAAAGCTCCGATGGTGCAGGCACCAACGCGTTCATGGCGCAGGCCTTCTCCAGGTACGCAATCCACCTTCTCGTTCAAACTTAATCTCACGTTAGTGACGATTAGCTGTGCAATCTCAGTTCCAACCTTCTGCTACGTAGCGGTAACACGCCGGGACTACGGCGGCGACCAATGATCCTCGTCACCCTATATACGGACGCTCGACGCATCCCTCCACAACGGGCGCCCCACCTCCTCATCGTCCTCCGACGTGATCTCGCGCTGCGACTTGGTCACCATACAAGATGTCCACCACTGCCACATCCCAAACTCGACGACCGTACACCTGGGTCCCGCCGCTCTCCCTCGTCCGACCGCGACACCCGCGCCACAACAAACGGCGTCGGCGCCGCGAATTTTCAGTTCGCCCTCGCGGCCTCCGCCTCCTCGACACTCACGCGCTCGAAGCGCAGGTCGCCGCGGTCCCACAGCCGGTGGAGGCCGACGAGCTCGTCCAAGCTCGTCGCATTGCCGCTCGGGCTGCCGAACTTGGTACCGTGCGGCAGGCCGACGATGCGCAGCCGGTGCTCGACGAGGGTGCAGTGCTTCGCGAGCCGCTCCAAAGTCCAGCGTATCTCGGTCGTCGGGTCGCCGGTGAGGTGTGCTGCGAGGTGCGTACCGTCGGTGCGTGCCGAGTGCGGGCATGAAGAGAATGTTGCTCACCCAATTCCGGCTTGGTCTTCTTGCGCAGATGTCCCCGGACCCGCGTCGTTTGTCATGTGTATCTAATGGCAGGGTCGAGCGTTCGCACGGCAGCCCGAGGTTGAAGTACTGCACCTCATTCGCAAGACCCTGGTACCAGGAGTCTTTGAGACGACGCCCTCGCGCGTGCACGTCTGACTAGTGCAACCGTTTTCCGCAGGCAGTGGTGGCGTTTCCTCCAGCCGCACTCGTACCCGATCGCACTGCACAATTTCAGTAAAGAAATATATTGTGTCAGGGGGACTCCAGACACCGTAATGCAACGCCTCCGCTGTGGCGTTGAGTGGCACCGTGCATGGTGGGCGGCTCGGATACGAGTCGTGTGGGGGCAAAGGACATGTGCTGTGGTGTTAGCGGGCCCATGCGAACTCCTGTGCGAACCACTCACTGTGCACGTAGGCAGACGCAAGGGACCGGCCTTACGTTGAATGATCAGAAATGGCATCCGGCGTTGAAGTCGAACTTGATAATTGCCCACATGGCCGTGGCGCGCCGGGTGTTCTAGTCGAATATCGAGGCGCAGCCGGTACCATCAATTGTGTGGCCGCCACGGCGCGTTGAGCGACAGACGAGGAATGGTCCTTGAGTCGAACGAGCGAGGCGCGGGTGGTACAATCCATTGGGCCGGTCATCCGCGCTACACAGTAGTTTCCGAGTTCGTGGGTACCGTGCTCACCATGGCACCTGCAGGGAAGCGTCAGCGAGGTTGTACGGGCCTGCAGAGATGATCCAGCGCACGCACTGTTGACCACGCCAAAGCCGGGCTCATGGCACACTCAATGCCCGTGGTGCAGGTCTGACCCGCTGCCCACGACGCCCCTCGAGCCCGTGCGCCTTTAGAATACGTTCACGGACACCAACCCAGCCGAGGGCGCGCAGGGGTGCAGCGAGGATCTAGATACAGCATATAATTATCTGAACTCAGTACTGTGTAGATATACATACCTCAGTCTGCCGCGGCCGCGGCCGGGCAGACAGAACAACTGAGGGACGAGGGACTGCGGCCGAGCGTTAGGCCTTTAGGACCCGGATGCAGCGACGGAGAATGCCGAGGTACTGTATAGTACCTATATGCGGAAGGTGTCGAACGAGACACCATGTGTCGTAATGTAGATGGTCAGCCGACGGGCGATAGACCGCGCGCGTTCTTGGTATGGACGAGAACGAAGATGATTGTACCAGGGAGCGCGACGATCGGCGACGCGGGCGACAAAGTCCAGTCGAGGGGGTTGGACGCCTACCTCGCCGCGGTGACATTCGAAGTTGTCTGGATAAGCCAGTCGAAGCAAATGGCATCTCGGCCGGCGGACGTGGTTTGTGCGAAGCCGGCGAGGTCAACGTACGCGCAGGCGAGAATGTTCCTGCGTGAGTGAGCAGGGTCAGTGGACGGCAGTTTTCGTCATGACAATGGCGAGCACTCACAGGGCGTGAACAAGCACGGATGCAAATGCCGCGTCTCCGCCGCCAGACCTCGCGCGCCACATGCACCAACCGATGCCCGTGCGGTGCGAGCACCTCTGACGGCTGCATGTACTGGCCAGCGGCGGCAGCGTCTCCCGCGTTGGCTGGGTCTAGTGCAGCTCCAGGTAACGCTGCGCCTCGGGCGACGGGCTCCCGTCCGTGCTGGCGTGAGCGTGGGTTTGGTGGTGCGACGTGTAGCAATCCACGGACGGGGCGGGTGGGGCCGCGAACGACCCTGACTGGTTCCCGTACCCCAACGAAACTGCCGATCCCACAGACGTAGGCCGTGAGTGTGCGTGGTCTTGCGGGCGGCCGTGTGCGTGAGCCGCGGTCCGCGGCGAGTGCGAATGCCCCTGTGGAGCACACGAAAACGCGTGACGTTGTTCCGGGCGGGTCATCGGGGGCTGCGTCGCCAGGTGCCTGCTGCTCAGCACGCCGAGGCTCTCGCGGCGTGGACGGCGCTAGACGAGATCCGCGGGTCGCTCGACGACGCGTGCCAGATCGGCCTGCGCACGCACACGCGCCGGCTCGTACTGCGTGTGCCGGGCCCGCACCACGTGGAGGAGGTCCGCATGCGGCTGCGGCACCCCTCGCGGACATATCGCTGGCGGTGCTGGAGCTCGTGGTGGACAGGGAACGGTGCGCGACGGGGGCGGCGCTCCGGAAGGCGTTTGAAGAGGAGGAGGGTTGCCTGGAGGGCATCCGGGAGCTTTCGCTCAAGCTGTAATTTGACGGGAGGCTCGAGCGGGCGGCGTGCGACGTCGTGTGGCTTTGGCTATCGAGTCGAAGAGCCTGACGTGATACATCGTATCAGTGACCGTCACGATGAGCTGAAGCAGGTGTATGTGAAAGCTGGCGTTGTCGGACAAGAGGCCCTGTGAGGAAGTCTCGGCACCGTGCGGATGCGTGGTCGTGACTCGTGAGCGCAGGGAGCGTCCAGTCGAAGGCCTGAGTGAGACTGAGTGCGCTGGCACCGACTGTGGGCAGGCCAGGTGCACGTACCCTGCATACGCGAGCGAGTTGGAGCTGTAATGGAACGGTAGGCGTCCGATCGGTAAGGCGGTCCATGTGTTGTGCGTCGCGTTCTGAGAAACGAATGGTCCCTCTCACGCACGAGCGTATGTCGCACATTCTCCGCTTGCACAGAATGTGAGCGTGGGATCTTGGGGGAGGTACGTTGGGCACCTACCTCGGGCAGGGTCACATTCAACTAAGACCGGGAAGCCTGGCGCGCTCAGGGATAGGTGAGGCCAAGGTACGGATGATTGAACGGCGACGCGTCTGGCACGTTTTTGTGCGAACGCGGCTGATGGAAGGGTAGCACGGAGGACGGATGTCGGCAGGGCACCGACGCGGTAGAACAAAGGGCTGCGGACGGTGGGAGAGTGGAAGGGGAAAGTCTTGGGTGGGAGAACGGCTTGGAGGATGAGAAGGTAGGTGAGCACGTACGAGTGGTCGGCCGCAAGCACGCTCTGGTCTGCATCCCGCTCCGGGCCAGGTGACAATGACGGGCATTGGGAATAGCGGCACGCGTCTGATTTGTTTGCACACGCTCGCTGACGGGTTCTTGGATGATGTCTGGCGGCGGGGAGTGCGTCGAGGGTGTGGGGACTGGCGTCGAACGGCCGATCTGTGCACGTTTGCTGACAGAGCACAGCGAAGGGCGGAGGGCGAAGGGCGGACACTCACGGACGTGACAGCCAAAGAGGCATGCAGGAGCGGAGCGTCGATGGTGGATGGTCGACAGGTCGACAGGCGTCGGGACGCTGGGGATGGTGGGTTGTCTCGACCGCGGTATGCCCTGGGACTGGACTGCTTGGAGGCGAGGGTGTTTGGTGAAGTATTGACGCGTTGATGTGCGCAGGTGCGCCGTAGATGAGGCCTTGAGGCGTTGTGTCGACCGTGGTGGGCCCTGCTTCGACTCGTCCAAGGCTGGTCAGCAAGCTCCGGGCGCTGGGCGGGAGAGGCGTCACCGCAGGCGCTCGATTGCGTCATGCACGCGAGGAGGACGACTCCGCGTCGAGCGAGTTCGCGCCTTCCCCGCCCTCTCGACCGCCTCGCGCTCTCTCAGCAAGCGTCTGGGCGTCGAGAAGAACGCCGAGTCCTGCCCTCTGCGTTCCGGCTCTCCGTGATCAAGCTCAAGGTCCGCCCGTCTTCCTTCGCGACCAACCATGCCTAACGTGAAGCCGACAGGACACAGTAGCTGCACATCTGGCACAGTTCGTCTACCTCCAGAACAAGCCATCACCAATGCGCTCAACGAGGTCCACGCGAGACGCGTCTTGCACGCCGTCGGCCCGTGCACACGCATCTTCGACCTCCGAGCGGAGGTACGGCAGGGCAAGGTGCGGCACGGAGATGGATGTCTGTGGTACAAAGATCGGTGAGTCTGTCTCACACTAGGTGGAGGTATGACTACCGATTCTCTGCGTCTTCCGTCCCTCCGGATCCGAGGTCATTCTCGCCAAGGTCAAGTCCTCGGATGAGGACGGTGTCCAACGTACGTCTCTTCGGCCTCGTTCTCGCGCCCCGAAGCTCACTCGCGCCCAGTAACTGTCGGATTCTTTGGCGACATCTACGTCCCCCTTGTTTACCTGCCGGACCCCTGCGCCTTGTAAGTGCCCCCCTATCTAGCATGTCTTCCCCGACACCTATCTCCGTCCGCCCCCAGCGACCCAGAAGAGCGAGCACATTTCCGGCTTCCAGGATCGGAAGCAACTTGCTTGTCCCACGAGCTCCTCGAGTTGCCCCTGACGGACCGGATATGCATCAACGCCGGCGATGTCCTCCGGATGCGCGTCGAGGCAGACGGGTTCCATGACGATGAGCTTGGTCCGCCGAATACGCGTGAGGGCGTTCAACGGGCTCGTGAGATGCGCCGTTCCCCGTATACCATCACCGTGAGTGCCTTCCCTGCCTCCCGCTGTCAGTGAAAAACTGCTTATGTCTTGCTCTGGTTCCAGTGCCCGACATCGAAACAACGGACGATGGTCGACATGTAATCAGACCGGACCGCGTCCTTCTTGTTTGCTCGTATCCTTCTATGACGTATTGTAACCTCGTTTACTTCAACCAGGACCAGCATTTCTAACTCGAGAGGAAGCGGAGCTGGAGGATGAAATTGCGCGTCTGATTGCCATCACAAGCTATTCCGTAGAATCTGTGCTCTGTTCTCACCATATAGACATACACGAAAGAATGAAGCTCAGGACCAGTCACCCCACGTCCTCCCGTAGCCCTGCACACGCAACACCATCGCTTGAAGACGCGCACGACGAAATCTAAGGTGCGCGCGGTATATCCGTGGGTGCGGCCGGCGAAGTGGCTGGAACTGCGTCGGGCGCCACGGACATTTCGTGTGGAGTAGCAGCGGCGTCCGCCTCCACGGGGGAATCCGCAGGGCTGTGAGACGGGGTCAGCGTCGGGAATCGCACGAATGAAGGACGGATACGAGCTCGGGTTTCGTAGCTTGGTCTTTCTTTTTCTCCGATTGAGGACCTGCGGCGGAAGACGACGCGTCCGGTGGAGGGGCCCGGCACGGCGGGACCTTGAACGTGAGATCGAGGAGACGATATTTGCACATGTCCACCCAGAAACGCCCCGGGTTCATGTGACACCAGTCCTCCGTTCCAACGAGCTGTATGAACACGCGCTCGAGCGCTGCAACAAGCGACGGTGTGACCAGACGGCGGATGGCGTCCGAGGAATGGGAGTGGAATTGGAGCATGTCTTCCAGAATAAACGCGAACCAGCTGCAGGCGTCGTCCGGTGATACAGGCAGCGACCAGCCTTCAATTGTGTTGAGGAGCGTTTCGAAGGAGGAGAACGCGTGTGCGACGAACGGCTGGATCGCAGCGATGCCGTCGCACTCGCGGATCCTGGGCACCGAGTCCTCGACGAGTTCCCAGATGGGGCGGATATGATTCCGCATGAACTTGAACTCCCAGGTGAGGACGTCTTGAGAAGACAGGTTTGCGCGTCGGAGGCCACGGTCGCTGACGAGCGTTTGCATCCGGTGAACTGCCGCGAAGGCAGCTGTGGTTACGGTGAGTGCCCTGAGCTCGACGGGGTTGAAGATGAAGTCGCAGACGCACCGAGTCGCAACGTTCCGGCGTCACTGATCTTCTGGAATGCGCCGCGTATCCACAGGTTGTCCCATTCTGAGTCTGTGTTTGCGGGTTCAGCAGTTCTTTGAAGGCTGATGAGTATTTGGGTCCTGGTATCTGTGTCGGGCGCCGTGGACGTTTTGTGTGGAGCCTTGGTAGCCGCGTCCACTGCCGCGAGGAAATCCACAGGGCTGTGCGAAGACGCAGTGGTCAGCGTCGGGAGTCCCACAAATGGCAAGGATGGATACCAACTCGTTTTTCGGAGCTTGGTCGCTGTGTTCCCCTGATTGAGAATCTCTAGTGGAAGGCAGCGCATCGGGCGGAGGGCACGGCGGGACCTTCGACCTGAGATCGAGGAGGAGATCTTGGCACCTGCGCACAGGCGTGAAACCATGAGCCTCCACTCGACTCCAGTCGTCCGTTCCAACGAGCTGTGTGAACGCGTGCTCGAGCGCTGCAACGAGCGACGGTGTGACGAGACGACGGATGCCGTCTGAGGGATGAGAGTTGAATTCGAGTATACTGTCCAGGATACAGCAGAAGTGGGAGCAGGCGTTGTCCGGTGATACAGGCAACGACGAGTCAGCTTTCGTGTTGAGGAGTGTTTCGAAGGAGGAGAACGCGTGCGCTACGAACGGCTGGATCGCAGCGATGCCGTCGCACTCGCGGATCCTGGGCGCCGAGTCCTCGACGAGTTCCCAGATGGGGCCGATATGATTCCGCATGAACTTGAACTCCCAGGTGAGGACGTCTTCAGAAGGCGGGTCTGCGCGTCGGAGGCCACGGTCACTGACGAGCGTTTGCATCCGGTAAGCTACTGCGAAGGCAGCTGCGGTTACGGTGAGCGCTTTGACTTCAACGGCGTCGAAGGTGGAGTCGCAGACGCACCGAGGCGCAACGTTCGGGCATCACTGATCTTCTGGAACGCGTCGTTTTCCCACAGTTTGTCCCATTCTGACTCTGCGCCCGCAGGTTCGACCGTTCTTAGCATACTGACGAGCAGTCGGGTCCCGGTCGCTGCGTCGGGCGCCGTGGACATTTCGTGTGGAGTGGCAGCGGCGTCCACCTCTGGCACGGGGGAATCCGCAGGGCTGTGAGACGGGGTCAGCGTCGAGAATCGCACAAATGAAGGACGGATACGAGCTCGGGTTCCGCAGCTTGGTCGTTCTGTTTCTCCGAGTGAGGATCTGCAGCAGCAGACGACACGTCCGGTGGAGGGGCCCGGCACGGCGGGACCTTCGACGTGAGATCGAGGAGGCGATATTTGCACGGGTCCACATTTACATTCTCCGGCTCCATTTGACGCCAGTCCTCCGTTCCAACGAGCTGCATGAACACGCGCTCGAGCGCTGCAACAAGCGACGGTGTGACCAGATAGCGGATGCCGTCTGAGGAATGGGAGTGGAATCCGAGTATGTCGTACAGGATAGCACCGAACTGGCAGCAGCAGGCGTTGTCCGGTGATACAGGCAGGTACCAGTCAATCGTGTTGAGGAGCGTTTCGAAGGAGGAGAACGCGTGCGTGACGAACGGCTGGATCGCAGCGATGCCGTCGCACTCGCGGATCCCGGGCGCCGAGTCCTCGACGAGTTCCCAGATGGGGCCGATATGGTTCCGCATGAACCTGAACTCGCCCATGAGGACCTCTTGAGAAGGCGGGTCTGCGCGTCGGAGGCGACGGTCGCTGACGTGCATTTGCATCCGGTGAGCTGCCGCGAAGGCAGCTGCGGTCACGGTGAGCGCTCTGACTTGGACAGGGTGGAAGGTGAAGTCGCTGACGCACCGAGTTGCAACGTTCCGGCGTCACGGATATTCAGGAACGCGTAGTCTTTCCGCATGCTGTCCCATTCTGAGTCTGTGATCGCGGGCACAGCCGTTCTGTGCAAGAGGCTGTACAGCAGTCGGGCCGGTGGGGTCTTGTTATACTCAGATAAAGCGGGCGTACTCGGAGGGCTGGTGTCCTCGTCTCCCCCACCTTCTAGCATGCTGACGGAAAATCCACCGGACGCGTGCAAGAGGGGACCATAAACATCTTCACCATAAACTCTGGCCAGTGGATCCAAGACCCGTGGAGGTCCGAGAGGCGTCCGAAGGTCCATTTCCGATACGACTTTGCAACCTGTGGGTCTTTGGATAGGCATATCATGGCCGTGTGCACCATGCTGGTGTTTTGAGAGCTGACCAACGCCCAGTGGACCGTCTGGGCGTCGAGATCGGTTGCGCTTCGTGAGACAATGGCCTCTTCGTCGCCTTTCCATACAGCCTTGTTGGGCTCTGGAAACCTCAACGAGGATGAAAAGTCGCGGAAGGCCCGCAATCTGTACCACCAGCCACTTCCGTCGTCGGTATACCTCTGGTAGAGGGTC